GCCTATGCCTGGTATAGGGAAGCCTTTTAAGGTTTAATGCTTTGCTATGTTTTTATATATGCTGGAAACCACCCAGAGTGGATGGGGCAAACCAGTCAGATGGGTGGGGTACCAATAATAAATTATGATGATGATTCCTCTGACAGTGAAGGCAGTGACCAGTAACCGTTGACAGCCTTCTCCTTCATGAATTTGTCTAAGCCTCTTTTAACTTCATAACTTCAAAATGTACAGTGGTACCTCGGGTTAAGAACTTAATTCGTTCTGGAGGTCTGTTCTTAACCTGAAACTGTTCTTAACCTGAAGCACCACTTTAGCTTAATGGGGCCTCCCACTGCTGCTGCTGCTGCGCTGCCGCTGCACGATTTCTGTTCTCATCCTGAAGCAAACTTCATCCTGAAGCAAAGTTCTTAACCAGAGTGATATTTCTGTAACCTGCAGCATATGTGACCTGAAGGGTATGTAACCCGAGGTCCCACTGTAGTGTGTTTGACCAACAAGAATTTGTTTTGATCACCCAGTCACATGGCAAGGAACCTTGCATTTATTCAGGATACTGTAGTATCATGTATTGACTGTGGTGGCCATTCATGTTGATCAAGACCACTTTCACAGGACGAATGAACTGCATTGCTCAATTAGACTAAGGTGTTCTGTTTCCAACAGTGACCAGGCTATGAAAACTCATAACCAAGGGATTAAAATTCTGGCATGTCTCATAGGCACCTGGTCCAACACCTGGTATTCGGAAGCATGCTGTTTGAACATGGAGAGTTTCACATAGCTAGGAAGATAGCTGTGCAATGCCTACCCAACTAAATGAAGAGAGAAAGCCAACTTAGTGTGAGATGTGACATTTTAAAGATCTAGGGGCTGCAGTCCTATTCACCCTGAAGTAAGCCCCATTGAACTCAGCCTAGCTTACTTCTGAGTAGACATAGGAATGCAGGAAGCTGCTTTATATTGAGTCATTCCAGTGATCCACCTAGCTCAGTATTATGTACACTGCCTGGGAGTGGCAGGGGACATTCCTAGCCCTTCTTGGAGATGCCAAGGATCTTCTGGGTGCAAAGCAGATGTTCTGCCACTGAGCCATAGCCTTTCCCTGTGTATAGTATTGTGTTGTATAAGTTTGTGTTATGAAGGCAGGTGCTCTGACTCAGGAAAGAAGAAGATGGCACCATGGATGGAGACCAGAAGTGTGAAGAGGAGGGCAGTGCATATCTATTGCACATGCCAATAGGAGACAGGGAGACAGAGAAACAGAGGGGTGGGGGGAGATGGTTGTGTGGCACAGAAGGTCAATCTAGGCTAAGTACTTGTGTCATGACTGTGGAAGGTGAACCTTGAAAGAGTCCGGTGAATGAGGTTGGGAGTTGGGGGGGTAGGGAAGGCAGACAGAAAGAAAAAGCTAGACATGCAATTTGCTTTTATCACCTACAATTGGGAAGACTACAAGCCAATGGACTGGATGCTTTCAGCCCTGTTAGAAGTAAGAGACTTTTGAGAGGAATGGCTACCATTTTAGGGGCCATCAGAGATCAAAGGGAAAGCAAAGGAAGCAGGAGAAGAACAACATCAAAGATCAGACAGATGATGGTCCCCTGAAGTAACTAGCTGTGACCACTTGTTTGCTATGGTACAAAAGGCTGTCTATACAGCCCCATAAACAGGGACTGCACTTGAGGGTGAGGAGGCTGGCTGATGGTATTTTAAATGGCACTGGTCTGTGGGAGACCCGGGGAGTGTAGTGAGATGATTATGGGCCATTTCAACTGTGGTTTTTAATAGGTAGCTGTAATATGTCTTTTGTCTGGTCTAAAGAGGCCTGACTGACTGGCTGCACCCACAGGTATGTGCATAAGACTGAAAAGAAGGGATGGAATATGAGCACTACTTGTGGGGCAGTCCTGTGCACCCTTGAATTCATTGGGATTTACTTTCAACCGAACACTTCAGACTGTGAAGTGCATGAAGGCCTAGCAGATGAACAAATATGTAGCTCTCCATTGACCTCAATAGCTTGCCTTGGTAGATCTCAACTCTGGCTGATCCTATCATAGTTACTCAAAAGTAACTTTCATTGGGATCTACTCTCAATGCAGTGTATGTAGGATTGTAGCCTTCCAGCTCAATCTTGCAAACTCAGTGAGATTTAGGCTGCAATCCTGTCCCCATTCACTTGAGAGTAAGACCCTCTGAGCTGACTATTGCTCACTTCTGGATAAACATGTGTAAGATTGCCCTGTTAATAATACAACTTCCTTGAGTAGAGTGCAGCTGGCTTCCAGTTTCAAATGTTGGGTCAGAACTAGCCAAGTGAAATTCAACAGAGATTGAAGTAAAGTCCTGTATTTGTGTACCAAGAATGAAAGACACAAATATAGGATCGAAGCAGCCTGCCTTGGCAGCAGTACATAGGGAAAGGATCAATAAAGGATCAATAAGCTGATCATAAGCTAAACATAAGCAGTATGATGCAGTTGCTAAAAAAACCCAATGCAATATTAGGATATTTTAAAAGAAGCATGTCCAGATTAAAAAAAGCAATAGTTCCACTATATTCCATGCTGGTCAGGCTACAACTGGAGTGCTGGCAAAATGGAGGATGGCCAGAGGAAGGGGACCAGGATGGTGAGTAGCATGGTATTCAAGTCTCATGAAGAACCATAAGAGAAGTTGCCTAGTTTTAGTCCAGAGAAAAGAGAATTAATGATCACAGCCTTCAAATATCTGAAGGACTGTCATGCAGAAGAAGATGGAGCAGGCCTGTCCTCTGTTGGTCCAGAGGGCCAGACTAGAACTCATGGGTGGAAATGGCAAGGAAGTAGTCTTTATCTAAACATTAAGAGAGAATGGCAAGTGCTGTTTGAGAGTGCCATGGGCTGTCTCCAGAGGTGGTAGCATCTGGGGTAGCCCCTGCTGGAGGTCTTTAAGTAGAGGGTGGACTGCCATCTGGCAGGGATCCTGTCACTGAATCCTGCACTGCAGATATGGCACTAACCATTAGACTGGACTGGATCACTTCAATATTCCATTCCAACACTATGGTTCTATCAGGGTCAAGAAATGTAGAGCGTTCGGAAACTATTTAGGCTCCTCCCCTTCCCTAAAAGGGTTGTAGCTTGCTTTCCAGAACGCTGAGAATCAAGAGTGCCTTAACGTCTCATGAAATTACAACCTCCCAGATGTGAAACTGGTTAAACGTATAGTTTAAGCATGAGATTACATTAGCCAAGTAAAGGGACTGTTGTTATTATTATTATTATTATTATTATTATTATTATTTCATTTGATCTCTTGTGACAATTGCTTGGGGAGGGCAAGAAAGTGTCGCAGAGAGCTAGAATTTCGTGATCATTTTCTTCCTCGAACCTGCTTGCGCGGGGTGGGTTAAAAGAGGCTTTCTGGGCTGCCCTTGCAGATTGCGGGTCCCTGCCATGTAACAGATCAGCAGAGTCACTGCAGCCGCTCTCTGGCTGAGGGCAGGTCTTAAGATGCACAGGGCTGCGAGGCTTGTCCTACAGCGCCTTCTCCTGGACGAGCGGCCAGACGACAAAGTGACTCTTCACATCACAGGGGCTGGTGGGCGGGGAGGGGGAGGGAGGAGAGGGGCAGGGTCTCCATGTGACATCTGCTCCCAAATCAGATAGAAGAGGATTAGGGAGAGGGGGAGAGAAAAGGAAATTAGAAGGAGCAGGGAATCCCTTCTGGGAAATAACGACAAGGATGAACCGCACCTTTGTGGCACCCCTCGACTCAAATATCAGGTGTGCAGAAGGCCTTCTGATTACTGTATAGATGGTGTCCCTTCAGACTCTGAAAGGTTCCTACCATCCTGAGCGCAGTCATGCGAGTGTGCGCGCGTTTGCACAGTTGCAGACTTCACTCTCAAGGGATCTCCTTACATAAAGCACGTATACGTAATATTAAACAGTGTTTTGATGTTGAAGAAGGGGAGGCATCCCGCCTTAAGTCAATATTAAAAGAGCTATTTATTTAACAGCTGAAACTGAAAGGCACGCCCGCCCCCACCGCCTCTGAATATGTTTGCTGGACAGGAAACGCGGAGCTGAGCTGTTTTGTTCTTGGCCCAGGCTGAGGGTCTGAGAAAAGCAGCTGAGAATATGTGGAGGTTGTTTAAAGGGACGGGAGAAAAGGAAGCTGGCAGTGTGGACGGAGATCTGAGGCTGCATGGGGGAGACTGCGCTAGCCAGGCTGTTCTGCGTCCAGCACAGGAATGCAGAGGGACACAATAAGAAGGAACATAACGAGCGACTAGCAAACAGGAAGGCAGAGTAGGCTGGCAACGTTTCAAAGGCAAAACGAGCCTCTGACACCACTCAAGGCGAGACCCCAGACTCTTAACATCCTTCCTGATCCTTGGCTGGTTCTTTGAGCAGAACCATTGGCCTCAATAGCAATGCGTCCAGGCACGGTCGGTGACTAACAATGTGGGAGTTCTCTGTTCTGCTCAGAGTGAAGAGAGGCCTGTTGCTTGGCCGATTTCAGAGCCAGTCGGCCAGACAGAGACAACAAACCAGTTGCCAAACAACCAACAAGCCAGCATGGATGGCCCATTTTCTCTTTCTAGCTAAAGATCTAGTAAAATCGGTCTGGCAACCAGGAGTTTTAACCCAGGCCTAGCCTTGTGCCGGATTGTGGCTAAGGGCTGCTCCATGAAACCCGGGGACTGCAGCCTGGAAGCCACATGGATTTTAAAGGAACTGCGCCGACCTTGTTCTTAACCCCACATAGCTCCTGCCTCCACGTCAGGTCTAAGTCTTCCTGGTGGTGCTTTGAAACGGTCCAACATAAAAAAAAAGGTCTCCGATTCTTCTTCTTCTTAAATCTCAAAGCTCGACTGATTCATTCCCAACGCGCAGATTGCTATCAGTTTGGAAGAACTGGTGACTATCCTGGGAGCCAACCCAAACTCGCAACTCTACCTTGATACAGCTAACCATTTTTTCATTTTCATTTCATTTTTTCATTTTTATGTCTGCAAACAAGAGAAAACCGGAGGGCAATAATGATCTCCATAGAAAGCTTTAGCTATCGCCACAAAGAGCTCTAAAACAATGCGTTGCTTTTCCTTCTCCTTAAAGTGCTTGGACCCTCCTCTCACTTCCACCTTTTTTTATTTAATGAAAGCCCCTCAACCCGTTTTTTCCCTTCCCATGCTGAGATCATGCAAGTGTTTGTGTCCTCCCCACGCACCCCCCCCAAGCACTTTAACTCACACATGTTTCATGTTTGCTGCCCTCAGCTTCCTACTTGGAAGATTTTGAAAGGGGAGATTTTCTCCCTCGCATCCAATTAAACTATACTTCCTCTTTAGGAAAAAGCAGGTTTTCAAAAGCCACTCGGCATAAGGATTTTTAGGGAGATATTTATCCCCAATGTGGTGTTATTTTCTGTCTTAAGCTCTGTCCCACTGACCAAATGAACTGTTTATGGCGATTCCTTTTTCCTCTCCCCCTCACCACCCCACACTCACTTCCTGTTTTTTAGCTCTTAACACTAGCAGTAGCAGCATTCAGTGCCGCAATGCAGTAGAGCTGTAAATACCTTTAACAGCTGCCTGCCAACCAAAGAGTGAAATACTGTCTTTGTTCGGATTCTCTCTCCCACCCCCAGCTCCAAGCACTCATACAGAAGCCCCTGAGAAATATAGTTCACTGGTGTGTGGGTGTGTGTACACACCACGATTAGATTTTTAGAGCTTTGGGTGAATGGGTATTTAAGGGCACTGAACCCACCACCAATGTACAAAAGATCTAGGCAACATGTGAACGGGTGGGTTCTTCTTCACTAAGAACATGACCATTTCTGGGATTATTTTTCCTTAAACAAATTATTGCCTTGTTCTGCATTTTCAGCTAGAAGTGATTAAACTATCCACGTTTGACCACTGGATGAATTCTCCTTTCTTGAGGGGGTCCTAACGTGTCTATTTATGAACTCTCTCCTTTTTTTAGGGGGAAATGAAATGAGCAGCCCCAAATACAATACCCCCCCATCAATTTTATTTCAGTGAGCTTGGGGGCAAACTCTCATAAAACTCAGTGGAATTCACAATGGTAGGGTGGTCGAGCCTAAAGCTGCATGCTTAAAATTTCGGTTTAAGGGGGGAAATGTGCTGAAATCAGTGCCCCTTTCTTCCAGTGAATCGAATGCATTTAGAATTAAGAGTCTGGGTTTTTCAGCACCAAGCCCTCTGGCACTTTAAGTCGAAGAACATGAATATATTCTGTAAAAAGAACAGTCATCCAGCAAACGTGATTTGGTTTTGTTTTATTTCATTTCTTTAAATCCACGTACTTTGTATTGGGTTACGGATCTACGATGGGTTAGATCTTATGGTTAAAAAAAAAGATGCGGAAATTAATGCGGAAATTAAGATTTCAAGAATGCTGAGGCAAAGAAACCAATCAACAATGTGTCGCCAACTTAGCTATAATAAATGCAGTCTAACTGGGAGGGAGGGAAAGGGAGAAGCAATATACGAGAGGGGAAAGTGGGCGGACTTATGTATGCACACATGATAATTTTTATTTAGGATGGTTTGCGACTTTCTGCTATAAACTGTAGCCATTAAACTGTAATCAACAATCACCTTGCAAGATTGTGATGGTATTTTACTCCAACCCAGCACCCAGCCCAATAACTTTCCCTAGACTGATTGCTAGAAATCCAGAACTCCACATTCTGTAGACTTCATCGAAAAAAGAGGGAAACCGGATTCGAGTGATTCAGTGTTGACTTCCAACAAGTCGCAAAAAGGATATACGAAGTAGTCATTCTTTACAGAATAAAATTTGAGTGCATTAGCAAGATTGAAATTTATTCCTATCACCGATAAGTTATTTTAAATTGTGGGGTGATCAAATATTTATGCATAGTAGTACGGCCCTTAAACAAAACTGATGTATAAGCAACATTACATTAATATATTTAATGCATGTATAAATCACATTATGTAAACCAGTTTTCAGGAAGACCATAACATAATAAACATAACATAACATAACATAACATAACATAACATAACATAACATAACATAACATAACATAATAATCTACATTCCGGAAGAGATAATAGACCTTTTTTTAAAAAAAATGATTTGTCTAGACCGGACAACAGCCCTGCTTTAAAAATAAATAAATAAATGAGGTGATTCAGCGTAACATTTTAAATAGAAATAAAGACGCCTAAGGCTACATAGCAACAACAGCAAAGTTATAGGGGAAATATATTAGATATTTGTAACCAGTCTGCAATATTATGCCATATTTACTTAACAATTAATTCCCACTGTAAGGAATTTATTCACTGCCAATTAAACATGGATAAGATTGGACTGTCTTGAGCTATATGGATTATTCCCCTTCCCATAATTGTTGCTATGAAAATAAACGTATTGAATCCTCATGTCACCCTGCTCACTGCCAGAAAGACAGACAGATAATCTCCCTTGGTTCAATTAGGCCTGATCGATATAAAATATATTTTTGAAAACGTCTGAGCACCATGGTGATGTCATCCTCCCTCTAGACCACAATAATCCGCAACGCCTTTACTCCAGAAGTCGCTGTCTTGCTACATAAGAGTAAGTACCTGCTACGTTGCAGACATATTGGTGTCTGCTTAAACCTTCCACGCGTTAGCTACCGTGGAACACGCCACATGCGTCTTGCTCTTTATGACAATGCACACTAGGAAGTGTTTTGACCGCCCTAGAAAAAACCATCTAGCTGCTGCTCGATCCATTCCAAAACTATTATATATATCCGACAGTATGACACAAACATTCCTTGCCATCCCTCCCGCAAGGTACAGTTTTAACAATCCCCTGATGTTTTCACGACTGCAAACATTTGGCCTTCGCTTTGCAAGACAGGGTCTTGTTTTCTGTTTAGGATTTCCCCCCCTCCTCCTCCACGCCCTCCCAGTCATCTTGGTAGGATTAATCGGATGAAAAGTCGGACTCCCCAGCACAGAAGAAACCACAGATCGTAAGCCAGTCTCCCTGCAGCAAATCTGGTCGTAGGAGCGCTCAGCTTTGCTCATTACTAGTGACCCGGATGGGGACACGGACACACACACACACACACACACACACACACACACCTGTTGATAAGGAAAGGCATGCGGATGGAATCCTGCTGTTAAGAAAAACCACTAAAGAGGGGGGGGGGGACGAGGCAACAGCGCACAAGTAGAAATTGCAGGACATCTCGGTCCAAATAATTTTGCTAGTAGTTTTTGGGGATGTTTTTTTAATTCTGCTTCGGCAGTTTCTCTTGCTTCCAAACCTACTCTTGCCTCCCCAACCTCAGAGGCATTCAATTCCACTAGCGAGCCACGCTAGTGGGGCGGAGAGTGCCTATCTCAGCCTTGTTCTCCGTGCCATGGAAGCCTCAAAAGCCAGGCAGGTGGCAGCAGAAGGCGACGAAGCGCTTCCAAGCCTAACCCACCGCACCTCTTCGCCTCTGTTGCCTCAGCTTGGGCGAAGAAAAAAATCACAGGCGCTTGCAGTGATGGTGATGGTGATGGGCGCCCGCCTTGCCCACTTTCTTTTATGACTTACGGAGTCATTCTCCGGCGCCTGAGCGAAAGTAGGAAGCCCTGCAGCGATGCAGACGAGTCAGGAATAAAATGGGGGGAAGGAGGAGGAGGAGGTGGTGGTGGAAAACGAGAGCTGAAAAATCCCTTACCCGTTCGCTGCCCCGGTGGAAGGGCGTGGAGCCCAGCCGCATCCCTGTAATCCATTAGGGGTCGCGTTCGGTAGCAATCCGAGTCCCATCACGATCGGAAAAGCCAAAGGAGGCAGGCAAGGCAGGCAGGCAGGTAGGGCTGGGAGGAAAGAGAGCTCGCTAGATAAACAAGCTGCCTCGCTGGCAAAGACAAGGGAGCTCTGCCCCCCCTCCCAGTCCCTCCCCGCCCACCCTAACCCTTCACCGCACTCCGCGTCTCTGCTATGACTGGAAACTGGCAGGGTAGCAGCGGAGGAGGGTGGGCGTTTGCGTGTGTGCGCGCGCGTGTGTGTGTGCGAGCGCGTGTTGTTTTTAAAACCCTTGGACCGGACTGGATCGGTACTCAAACATCATAGCGCGCGCAATGCACCTTATCGGAGACAAAGGTTAGAAAAAGAAGGGTTGAGGCTGTGGGAAAGACAGAATGCAAAAAAAGCGGGGGGGGGGGAATTCGCCGGGGAAATCAGGAAGGGAAAAGGAGGGGGAAGGCCGTGAAAGCCATCAGCGCTCGCACATGACCAGGCGCAGCCAATGACGTGCCCAAATAGGTCATAAAAGGTCTATTACGAGTTGTAAATTCTCTTCAAACAAAAAGGAATTTACTGCAATTCCTTGCGGATTTTTTTTTTTAAACCCAGGCTGCTACAAACAGTGGGTTTTGTTTTCCTGGGTTCATTTCTTTCTGCCTTCTCTCTCTGCTGTTTGTCTTTACGCGCTACCAAGGCTCACCACCACCTTTCTGTTGCCTTGGCCTGTCTCGGGGAGCAGCAGATCGGTGGGAATCTTCTGAATGATTGACGCAGCCCAGTCATCAGCCCCCTTACACCGGAGGCCAAACGCTGCCGAGTAGAGGCCCTGATTCGATTCGGAAGCGTTTAGCCCAAACATAGGGGCCTGAACCCACACCCTACCACTTGCCTGTGAGCAACGCAACAGTGCGTAAAAGTCCATTTGCTGCGGGGGCGGGAGGAAGTCCAGCAGGCGAGGACTCTTTTGCTAGGTCTACATTATGTCTAGGCCTCTGGGCTTTAGAATTGCACTGCCTCACTCCGACCCTCCTTGCCCTGCGCTGGGAAGGCTGAAGGGGTTGGGAATGGGGAACATCCCAATGAAACTCAGCTCCTGCAAATCTCGAATCTACTTTACTCCAAAGGCTCGTCACGTTCCGGAGCTCCTGAAAGCTCCGTTTGGAGTAGCAAATAAAAACCACCCGCTTGTGCGAATTAATGAGCGTCTCTTCCTTGTTGCAGGAAAAAGCCTCCCCAGAAGCTTTTCCGGCCCTGGCTGCGGATGGAACGTTGACGAGAGACAAAGCCTCCCTTGGCTGCCGATCCATTGATTTGTAACGTTCTAGAACGCGCTGGGAGTTCTGCGCTCTGGAGGAGTAACCAGGCGTTCTACCGGATCTGCAATGGCAAAAGAATTCGAGACGTGGAAGGAAGGGTGGACGAGGGAGACAAAGCATGCCTCCAGTGTTTAAAACGGCCTCCCCTTCTTGAACTTTAAATCAAAACCGACATAAATACACCCAGCATTTTGTCCACACACGCTACAGGGACGTTTATTCTGGTTCCGTTTTCTTTCATGCAGCAATTGGGACTGACTGACCGCACACTTAAGGGTACTCACTTAAGGCCCCCCTGGACTCAGTTGCACAATTTGTGTGTACAAATTGCATTATTTGGATGTTCAGTGCGGTTCACTTTCTTCCGCTGGAGATAGGCTGGAAGTGGTGGGGAAATTTGCCGCTGTCTGTAGTGTGGGATCCAAACTCTGTTCACTTGAATTTTGTTGCTTCCCTCCGTAACCCAAAGACGTCTTTAATAACTGGCGAATTCATCCAATTATTTATGGCCATTTATGTGGGATTAGGGTTTAAGCGCCTTCTGTTGGAAAACGACGTTCCCGGCGGCCTGACAGGTTCAGACTCACTTGAGATTTGCTTCCAAGTCAGCTATGTCATTGGGGCCGGTTTGAATATCTAAGATGTGGGTTTCTCGCCTTGAAGGACCGCATAGCGACTCCGCAAGCTTGATTTCCACCCGATTCCAAAATGGCCGCTTCCTCGTAAATAATCAGGATCGACAAACTCTAGGACAGTGTTATGTTTGATGGTATTAATTAGATTCGTCATTCATGATGAATTGTGGATGTTAATATATTGATTAAATACATTATAAAGCATACTGCGTTACAATGTGCACTTATATATAAATATATTCAGGAGAATGTGCGCAGCAAATATTCGGATTTCCCTGCTCCAAAATCAATTGTCTTCAGACATTTTAATCCAATTTTGGAATTTGCGTTGGATAAATATCGGATAATACTTTTTCCTAGTTGAAAGGGTTTATGGTTTAAGATGCTCAAAATGACCCCTCCCTCCGCCAGGGCTCAATTGAACTTAGGCTTCGCCCTTCGTTGCAAAGGTATTGCTACTTCACCAATAATGTCTGCAAATATTTAACTTGTATATTTACATCTAAAATAAAATAAAATCACCATCCCTTCTATATAGGTTTCTGGAAGTTCGCTTGTCTTAGACCCGCATAACCAATCCCAGACTGACCACTGAGACGTTTTGCCGCATTTATGCAAATCAATGCACCAAATTGTTTTGCTTCACAGTTTTTGCCGCAGTTCCTCTACGTGAACGGGTTCCCAGCCCACTATGGCGCTTGTAGAGGAATGCGGTGGCCAAGGAAGGCGTTTCCGGCGGGGAGGGGCTATTTTCTGAATTCGAAAAGAGCCTCGAAAATTATAGGCGCTGAAAGTATATTCTGCTTTCTTCTTAGCTAGCTGATTTCACAGCTAACATAACTGCTGAAATGTACATATATACTAAGGAAATAATTAGACCAGAGCGAATGGTAACACACACATGCACAAAGCAAGCAAAACAAAATGAACAAGACCCTTTATCTCTCACCCTCCGTGTGTGCGTATGTAGGTGTGTGTGCGTCTATAGGGGATCTTCTAGTTAAGGCTAAATCGTCCGGATTCTGGTTAGATGAGAGCAGACTTTGACCTGGTATCTATTCACTCATTTCGTCTTATTCCACTTCACCCTCTCTTTAAAGATTTAAAGTGAATTTGTTTCAGGGGCTTTGATATGGGCAAACAAGAAACTATTGACTGTCTCCAAGACTGATAATAAGAACAATGGGAAAGATTCAGCCACAGGACTTCAACACATTTCAGTTCTACTGGTCTCGCGCGCGCACACACACACACACACACACACACAGAGAAGTCCTTAGGATTTACAGCGACCTAATTTTGGTTGATAAAAGTGGTCCGAGTTAACACGCCTTGCAGCGAGAAAAAGGCTCGATGAACTGGTGGGCAGGGTACCAAAACGGTGATGGAGGATTGATGCAAATATAATGCCTCTCAGTTTTGAGAACTCTGTTGTTCTACATGTTACAAATAAAAGGAGCTACGAAGAGGTTGCTGATTTCCTGCCCTTTGGTGTATTTCGGGGTTTCTGTCTGCAGGCACCGATCGAACAGGATTTGGTCCCGTGGAAAAGCAACAGAACTGCGCTTAGTCGTAACTAACTGAAGTCGAATTCTTATCCACTACTGATTTTTGATGGTGTTTGGCTTCTTCCGCATATATGGGCCACTTCATACACAATTCCTCTTAGGGCTCTGTGTGTGGTTTCTGGGGGCTGCGGGGGGAGGGGTCCCCACACCATTTGAAGGCCCTTATTTCCAGCAACAGACAATTTGAGGTTTCTTGCGGGAGAAGGCTCTACCTATTAATTATCTGCATGATTTAAGATTGAGAAGCCACCTCTTTGAAATTGCCAGGAGAATTCTGGTGGTTTCCTTGCACTTTGATGTGGAGATATGATTACCTGATTAAAGCCAGCGCCCGTGTGAAAGTCCTTAATAAATCCCGTTGAAGTGAATGGGATTTGATAGCATTAAGGGCAGGCAGGATCACCCAAAAGCCCAGAAATAAAATCAGACCCCCCCCCCCATTTTTCTCACCAACAAAGCGGTGTGTGTGGTTTTTCTTATTATTTTTTTTACTGGGAAGAAAATGTCGATAATAAAGCTAATGTGTAAAAAAAATATGTGTAAGCCAGTGGGACTCTCACGCGTTATTCAGAACCTGGGACAGTTTTCTGTTATTTTGCTATCGCTCCATGCAGTGTTTTCAGTTATTTGCAGGACTTCCATGCTTTGATAGTCTTAAATTGCCCGTTTTCTGCTGAATAACAGCTACAACAACAAACCTACCACAGACATTGGACAAAATCCATAGAACGCTGGCACACCTGGACCCCACTGTAATCAATGGAGTTCTGATCGTGTGTAGTGCACACGCGGACCACAATCCAGCGATGAATTAAGTACTCTTGCACAGGTGCCTTATTTATAGTGCTTAAGCACTCTGATCTTCATCCTGGGATTATAGGCATTAGCAATGCATAGCCCCTTATATCTTGGGATTCTATGAACTAATGAACCCAAATAGCGGTGTGTGTGTCCCCCCTCTCGCAAGTTATATCCATCTGCAGCGATTTCAGAGTTGGCTTCTGGAGCGGCGCAGGGCTGAATCCCATCCCTGCCGTTAACTCAGACCTCGTTCCAATCCCGTCGCAGCCACTAATACCTCTCAGTCTCATCTCCTTTTTACTGTGGGGATAACACGGACCTCCTGCCTTACAGTGCTGTTGCATGTATGGCACAGACAGCATGTGGAAGCCTACTGCTCAGGGTGATTTTTATTATTCCTGTAAACACTAATTATCGCAACAGCTAAAGTCTGACCAAGATGAGGATGAGGAACTGCACCTCTCCAAATGATGGGAAGAATACGAAGACAGTCACTGCTGCACACACGATTTTTAAAATAATAATAATTCAGCCATAGTGTTAGTAGTAAGAACGGCAAGTTTTTTATATAAATATAGCACAGGCACCTCTGGAAAATCCTTCAAGTTTTAGATGGTCAATTGACAAAATAATGCTACTAATCAAACTTCCGCTTTACTTCCAACCCAGACTAGAGATACGCAGGGATGTTGCACTATGACATAGCATAGTGAGGGGGGGGGGTCTTGCTGAATCCAGCTAGCCCGCCATGCTTTCTTCAGAGAGCGGCCTGAGCAGCTTACATCAAGCAAGGCATGAAGAAATGGAAAGAGGCATCTCGTGCTGTTTATCTAGTAATATGGTAGACTGCTCCCTTATGACGGGGATGGGTGGGGAAGGTTTCTGCAACACCAGGCTAGGACTTTCCATTAATTTTAAACCTCCTTGCTTTGATGGGTGTCACACTGTGCTCACTGCAGCTTACTCGCAAGTGTCCATAGGACTGCAGCCTCTGGGACCCAGCGCAGAGAAAGCTGGCTGCCCCCTTAAGCCTCTCACTGAGATCAACATTCCCCCATTGCTTCGTATTGAATTTATTTACGATTAATTTTAAACTGGATTGGGACCGTGCCATATTCGGGATAGAAACATCATGTGCCTTGTAGCACAATCCTAGGCATGTCTACTCAGAAGTAAGCCCCGTTGGATTGAGTGGGGTTTACTTCCAAGTTTAGGATTGTTGCCTGGACGACCTGATCCGGCCTTCTTCTTCTTCCTGTACTTGGCAATGCAACCACTTCCAAGGGTCAAGCCTAAAACATGCTTCCTTGAAAGAAACCCGGTTGAAAACTGAAACACACACGTCTGTGGAAGCGCACTGAAAACAATAGGACTCCACTTCATGTGCACAGGGCAGGGGTTTCCCACAGAGAACCGAATAAGCCTCCCATAGCAGATAACTAAACGCTCGAATACTTTTCACTTATTTTTTCAGTAGCTACCATAAGGCTAATGCAACTCGGGGAATGCTGCAGCAAATGCGTCATGAAGCTGCGCGATAGAGCTGTACCCAAATCCTGCCCGCTGAGCGCCGAAGGAAAAACCTTCGTGCAGTCAATGCAGGCAAAAGCGAACGCTGTATCCTTGAACGCCTCGGCCTCATAGCTGTTGGACGGTTGGGCTATTCTCTCAGCAAAAGCGCGCAAGTTTGTTTGGAGTAATTTGACCTACGTTTTCTAAGTCCCGCTGCACTTCTGGGCTCCGCAGAGAGGTGGTTGTTGTCGTTTTTATTAAAAACAAACCAACCAGCCAACAACAGGAACGTAGGAAGAAACCTGACCATGGATATTACAGTGGAATCACTTTTGCTTTATTTCGATCAATTACCGATCATTCAGTATCAATGTGCCATTAAAATATCTCCCTTCTTCTTCCCCCTTTCCCACACCCCCGCAAAAAAAATCATTATAATGTCTAAATTAATTTACTTTACAAGAAATAATTTGGAAGAAAAGTTTTGAGATTACAAGTGCACTTGCTTGATTCGAGCATTTGGGTTGGGCTTTGGCTTTTCTGTGCTTGGGGACAGGAGAGGAGAGAAAGGAAGGAAGAAAAAGACCGAGGAGGGGACGCGTACAAAATTGCTATATAGTTTTCCGTATCAAATTCCACGTGAAGGGCGAAATGGAGAAAGATGCAGCAGCAGCAGCCAGCTGGGACTCGGCTTAGGGCGCCCCGGGTGCAGTAACAAATAAAATAAAACTCTCAGCTAAGTACAGAAACATCATAAGGTAGCTTTAAAAAACAAACAGACTGACAAGGTCGGGCCCTTGTGAAAAAGGTGCCTGAGTAAGACCCGTGAAGGCCGGGAGGAGAGGCCGCTGGTGCCCTCGCGCGCCCGCTCTCCCAGGCATTGTCTTTGGCCAAGGAGAACCTTCAATTCGTCGGGCCTTCTGCTCCTTCTTCTAGAAGGTCCTCCTGGACTTCTGTCTTGGCCTCCTCTCCTTCCTTCCCCTCCTGCCTGCCGGCTGGGAACTTGTCTTTGTTGTTCTCCTTTTTCCACTTCATCCTCCTGTTCTGAAACCAGATCTTGACCTGCCTCTCCGTGAGTCCGAGGGCATGGGAGACCTCGATCCGCCTTTTCCTGGTCAGGTAGGGGTTAAAAAGGAACTCCTTCTCCAGCTCGAGAGTCTGGAAGCGGCTGTAGGTCTGTCTCCCTCTCCGCCTACCAGGAGCTGCTATTTGAGACGAAACAAAAAAGCACAGCGTTTCTTTAAAACGAAACGAAACCCCACAAATAAACTGAAAACAAGTAGAATGCCCCCCCCTCCCGCGCGCGCACACGACGCGTGCTTAGAGATCTGGAGAACATCCTAAACTGGTTTACTGGGAAATAAGTCCCACGGGGGTCTTCGTGACGCCCTAGGGAATAAATGTCATCTAACTCCGTGGGATGTACTTTCTACTGCATGACCAGAGGCTAAGGCAAGTCTATTCGATCCAGCTGTATTCCAGCGAACAAATTTAGCGCAGGCACGTTTATCCAGAAATAAATCCCACTGCACTCAGCAGGGCTTCCTCTCCAGAGAGGAGGTTGAGGAATCCCCTTTAAATCAAAGTACTCCGAGTTATCTGGTCTAGGGTTGTTTGCCTCGCTTGCGCTTAACGCGCCACAGCAGCACCTCCCTGAAAGGAGACTACTTCTAAAAAGTGGTCGAATTATTTGTTTGTTTGTTTCATCCCACGATTCAAAACATTTGTGGCTTAACGGCCTCCAGTCCGTGGTGGGGTTGATTATCGGAGGGGGTGGAGGGAATCGTGGAAAATGTGCTGGAACCTGGAAGTTATACCAGACCCGCAATAATTGCATGTTAATTATAGGTGAGAGAGAGAGAGAGAGAGAGAGAGAGAGAGAGAGAGAGAGAGAAAGAAAGAAAGAAAGAGAAAAGCGGGGATCTGAATTTAGGGATAGATGCTGGGTTGTAATTTGTTTTGGAGAGGAAAGGCTTGAGACGCGCAGAGGGAAAATGGGGCTGCTGTAACAAAGGCAGGAGAGGAAAGTAAGAAAGAGAAGAAAGAGAAGAAAGAAAGGAGGCAGCGACTGGGTTGCCGCGGCGCCAAAGGCAAAGGGAAGCGGGGGTTTCGCTCGCGTCCAACCTTGTGGTCTCATCCAGGGGAACATTGGAGAAGGAGACGCGCCCTGATTTAAGTGCTCTGGGTCCTCGCCAATATTAGCACTGGACGATTTACAGTCAGGATACTGGACCAGCTCGGCCTCTTGGTGTGTCGTAAAAATCGGCTGTCTCTGTAAGTTATCGTATCCGTAAAACTTGGCAGGCTCTCCCGGACAAGGCAGGCCGGCGCAGGGGCCCTGCGGGGCCAGAGGAGGCGGCGGCGGGTGGTGGTGGTGGTGGTGGTGGTAGGCTGAGGGGCTTCCTCCGGCTAGGTGCCCGTGGTGCCCGTGGTGCTGCTGGTGATGGTAGTATTCCGGGCCGCTGCCGCCCGAGCCAGGCCCAGGTGGGGGCTGCGGAGGGGAGAAGCCCGAGGCGGCGGCGGCGGCCGCTGCAGCCGCGCTGTTCCCGTAGAGCAGGGCGGCCGCGGCCGCGGCGGGCGCAAAGTGACAGTCGTAGTAAGCGGGATTGATGGGCTGCTCGCCCCCTCCTCCTCCTGCTGCTCCTGCCGCCGCAGCTGCCGCCGCCGCCGCCGCTTTGTACTTGGAGTAGAGCGGATTGACGAAGTAGGAGCTCATCGGAGGGCGGCGGCAGGGGGGGCGGCGAGCGGAGGCGCCACCACCAGCAGCTGCAAGAGAAGGAGGAGCAGCAGCAGCAGCAGCTGGGCCAGCCGAAGCCCACGAACCACTGCCTCGCTACTCCTTCCTTACTCCTACTTTACTCAGCCGGCCCGCCGCCGCTGCCCCTGCCACCACTGCGGACGGCAGCGCTGGTGAGGTCCGGAGCTGGGATCTAATCGCTGCCCGACTGACTGACCTGCCTCACTGCTTTTACTATTTCCTATTAGGCACACACAGGCAGCTCCGCCGCCGCCGCCGCAGCCACACACTCACATGGGCCGGAGTTCAGGGCAAGGCAGCAGAGCCTGTTGGCTTCGGTTTACACTCACCTCCCGGAGGCAGAAAACGAGCCCCGGGAAATAAATAAATAACAGCGCAGCAGCCCCATGCAGCCATCCATGCAGCCAATGCTTGCCCCACCGGCTGTTCAGGCAAGTGGCCTCTTTTTCTTTCTTTCTTTTTCTTCCTTCCTTTCTTCCTTCCTCCTTTCCTTTCTCTCCCCACCCCCACCCGCTTCAGCCTCCACACCCGCAGCCGTATGCATATTTTCTCAAAAACTCACCAAGCAGAAAGAAAGTAGGAGAGATCAGGGTGAGATAAAGCGCAAGCACTGGGCTGTTGGATGGAGAGGCCTAGCGGAGTCCAGCTTGGGGTGGAGGGGAGGGAGAAAAGGTGATTTGGCTGGTTTGGTGACAACCCCTGCTGTAAGTTCTACTTTTATTTTTATTTTTAAACTGAGACTATTTCTAGGCCAAGCCTTGAAGCATACCCTCCAACATTTCTCCGATGAAAATAGGGACATCGTTTTATTTTATTTTATTTTATTTTATTTTATTTTATTTTATTTTATTTTATTTTATTTTTACCCTGCCCATCTGACTGCTACTTTAGGAGGCTTCCAACATACATTATATAAAAGCATAAGAAAACGTTGAACACTGAACAACTTCCCTATGCAGGGCTGTCTTCAGATATCTTCTAAAAGTTCTACAGTTACCTTACTTCTCTCCTTGGCTGGGGGAGGGGTGGTGTCGCATAAGCCATCATTAGATCCTTAGAGCCCTGAGACATGAAAACATCATAAAGGAGGACACGTGTCTCTGAACGTGTACAGAGTTTTGACCCAACTTCCACACACACCAGAGCTTCCACTTCCGGGATCAAAGGGCATGGCTTTTAGGCAAACCCTGAGCAGTGGGGCCGCTTCCTCACCCCCATAAACCCATTATCCACCGGCATTGGAGGAGTGGGTGTCATCCTGCGCTCAAATCCAATGGTATTGGTAAAGTCCAGACCCAGAAGGTCATAAACCATCAAAGGTTGGAGGGGGCAAGGGCAGGGGGAGGCCCAGGCAAAGGGGGAGATGCTGGGCAGCAAAGCTAGGCGAAATCAATGGGTGTTTTGCCATTGATCTCAATGGAATGTGGATTTCCATTAGACAAGCAAGTAAATAAGTAAATATAAGTAAAATAAATGAGGCTGGGAGAAGCGAGCTCAGGCCAGCAGGCCGATTTCAAACGCGGTGCCCATTTACCCTGGAAGCACTGCGCGCCTGGCTGCAGATCCCGGATTAATTGATACTTAATGGAAGTCGTGTCCATGAATATGCTTTCCATCATTTCACCCTTGGTGGACGTCATTAGCCAAGCCAAGCCGAGCGAGGGAGAGTGGCGGGTGGATGGCAGTGAGTGAGTGAGCGAGTATGGGGAGCAATACCGGCGAGCTCTAGCATAGCTGGCGGGGTTGGAATCCCAAATAAAGGAATATTTTCCGAACTGGAAGGGACGCAGAGAGGGAAGAGGCTGAGGAGGACAGCATCAGGGTCGCGCAGTAGCCTTTCCCCAACCCCCTGGACAGTACAGGCAGCTGCCCGCATTTAAGCGCCTTCCTTTCCAGAGCTGGAGGGCCGAAATTTTGGCCAAGGCTGGCTCCTCTTTTCTAGGTTTTGGGGAGCCAAACGAGAAGGGCGCATGGGACTTTCCTGTTTTCCCCTGATGCTTGGGGTGGACCGAGGAGTCTGGTGAAAGGGACGGGGGTGATTCAGCCTGTTAGATCCGAGGCAGGAATTCAAATACACACGACCTTTCTTTTCGGGGCAGTTTCCCTGTAGTTAGAACCAAAGCGGCTGAACAGGGGTAGCCCCGTGTGGAATGCAATCGTGTGGACAGATTCCGAGATGCAGTAGCGATTGCCCTCATTATTTGAGGAAGGGCGAAAGGGGCGGGGCGGAGGCTATTATTATTATTATTATTATTACTATTAACCACACACTTCTTTATCTCACAAAATAAATGCCATTCCGTTTTGGACTCACTGCAAAACTAAACTAAGAATAAATTATATGGGTGAAATAGTACACAGAGCCGGACAGAGAAGCGTGAGAAGACAGAGACGACAATCTGGTGTGAGTTCAATAAAATTATTGTGGATACATGACATGTCTCTTTGTCGTTGTCCTTTCACGAGAAGTTGTCCTTTTCTTTTCTTTTTACAAATACTAGCATCTATTCCCCCCCGCCCGCCACGTTTATTCACGTAAGCCAGCCGCATAAAATGTATGCTGTGTAGTTTCCATTTTGCGTTTCCCTTTTGTAGTTTTATGTTGTGAACCGCCCTGTGATCTTCGGGTGAAAGGCGGTATACACATTTTATTAATAATAATGATTAAAATGTACCGTCTTTAACTTTAATAACAAAAGACATGGGGTGGGGAAAAGAAAATTCCACAATAATTTAGGGAATCGAACATTGGTGTGTAACTTGGGAGACGCGAGAGGAAGAAGAGCGTTTTGAGGAAGCTTCCCCATCCAGCTGTGTTGAGAAAGAAGGTTGCAGTATTGCTGAATCACTGCTGTGGTGGAGCTTAGATCAACCAAACTCTGCTACTTACGCTGTGAAAATACGTTCCCGTCTATGCAATAAAACAGGCACCCTACTGATACAGATGGAATCATTTTTATCTGCAGAAATAGATCCGGGCCTTATAAGCTTTTCTCCAGCGTTGACAGTGTAGAGTTCGCTCGAGTGGAGTTACCTGGTCTCTTCAGCTGTTGCAACTATTTCAGATTCATCAGAGCGAATGTTGAAGCGCGGAATGAAAGACCAAATCCAGCGCTTTCTTAGCGTGGTCTCTTGGGATACAGGGAGGTCCAAATTCTCCAGTGAATTCATTTTCTCCTATTGACTTTCTATAGTCTAAAGAAACCCCCTTTCTGTTTATTAAGGATATCTGATAACACCCTTTTGAGATGTTTTGTTAAGATGCATAACCGTGTGCGCATCTTTTTAGATTCTGAAATCCTACCTAGGGGGTAGAAGGGATGGATGTGTGCGTGGGAGGAAATCAAATACAAGTTTAATGGCAATGCAATGGAAAACCCTTTCGTCGCAGCTGAGTCTCTTTTAGAAAAAGAGAGGTCCCATGTACGTTTCCACGTCGAAAGAGAGGCCTCCTCATTGTTTCTCTTCTTTCCTTGTGCAGTTCTTAAACCTAATCCGAATCTATATTTCCTGGGTTTGAAAAAGGAGGGTAAGAACAGACGAGAAATATACTAGAATACCTTCCTGGATTTAGAATACTTTCTGGTGGTAGTTAGAATAACAATCAGAAAACAAGCTGCGGCCGTAAGATGTTCGATCAGCATTAATTCTTCCTTTTTTGTAAAACGTGCTTTCTATACGCATACATATTTATAATTGAAATGAGGTGTTCTCGTCGAACTTTTTGTAGAAATTATAATCATAAAAAGAATGAATTGATTTCGCCTGTAGACACAAATAGCCCCCCGCGCGCTTTTATTTTACATGCCCATACTCTGCAGAAATTAAATTTGGTGTCACTGGCAAATTTATACGGGTGGATACTTTTTCAGGTGCTGACTGCGTACATCTCGCCACTTAATTAGTTAGATCATAGCAAAGGACGGTCATGTTCGTTTATTTTTAGCTACAAACACAAAATTCATTGATTAAAAGAAACAGCCTGTACATATTTTAAATAAACAAATAATCCTGGCCGAATACAGAAAATTATCAGAATATGGAGCAACACCGCCCTCTAGTGGTGAGATGAAATCTTGTTCGGCAACCCGGGTTGACGCCACATGTTTATGCTTTTTCTACGATGAATGTGAAAGAAAGATATTTGCAAGGAACACTTGGTTGTTGTTTCTAATAAAATATTTCTTTTTCGCTGGCTAAAGACGATTAAAGTCATGCAAAAAAAAAAATTCAAAGGAGCGTGCAATTGTTACAAAGAATGAGAAATATCCTTCATATTTACAAGTGAGAAGGGGTATATGCCAAATCCTATATCTTGAATGACGGGGAAATGTTTACAATGACTACACAATGCTGCCTTTTGTTATCAAGAGCACAGGATTTTAATCATAGGAATTTTGCTTAACCAAAGAAACGACTTCTTTATGCCTAATGAAGTCAGATTAAGTGAAAACACGAACGAGGAAGCACGTTGCTGTTCCAGTGCAATTAGCATAAAACCAAACCTCCCGTTTCTGCTTTGTCTGTTTCTGTTCTATGCTTCGATTTCAAGCTCAGAAACCTTCCTGCCTTGAACTTGCCTATGTCATTTTATTTCTCCCTTTCCCCATCGGAGAGCTGGTCAGTTTCGGCTTGCGCACTTACACTTGGAATCATAACAACATCCACGTTTCTGCTTTATTGTGACACTCAACATATCCAAAAAAGAAACGGACTCTTAAGCAAATGTTACTTGCTTATTGGAAGCGGAGGGCTAGTGGTTTGGGGATGGCAGCGTTTCCATGTTTCCAAGCAGATCCAGCTACATAGCTGGGCTGCAGTGGCATTTTGAAATAAATAAACGTGGACTTGGGTTCAAACCTCGGCAAGTTTAGATTCGGTCCCGTTCCAGCCAAGGTGGACCTTCCCCAACGTTAAAGTCTCGCCCGTTTCAAGTTCTATGTATTGCCCTAACCTTTACGGGTGTTGTTGCTCTTGCACTTTTTGCACACCAAGCTCTTCGTCTTTTTTGTTTTTTGTTTTCAAAAGGAACCCCTGACTTTCTAATATATGGCTACTTCCAGGTCCATTGGCATACCCAGCCGAATTGGTCTTAATCTCCTCACTTTTCAGACTTCAGCGGCGTCCAAACTGCTGTCTCGCCCAGCCGGGGTGACATATTGAAATTTATAGTACGGATTTTAAGACCTGGTTTTGTCTGCATCGGTGTTCTATCCTAACAAACGCAAACATCAAAATAAGATGGTCTCAAAGAGAGAAAAGCGCCATCGCATATCGTAAACTCATTAGGTCCAGACGTCTAGCCTTCTCAATGGTTTTATTACGCCTCGGTTCTTCCTGTTTTAAAAAGAATTATAGGTATAGGGTTGACAATGAATGGGGAAGCAAGGCAACACCTTTTCCTAGGCCTTAATCGCTGTGGGTCTTTCTGAGGGGAAGGGGGAAGTGATAGCATCTACAGACCCCCAGGTCTCGGTGCCTGTTTCCCTTCACCCTAAATCTTCTTTCAAATGGCTTGAGAGGCCATGTTTTCCTCGAGACGCTTAATTAAAATGGTGTCTCACATCAGAACAACGCTCCTCTCCTTCTCTAAAATATCCCAGAAGCCTGCCGCCCACCCCTCAATCGCATTGTGTGTGTTGGTGTATTTAAATACAATGTACATACATGATTCAGCTAAAGTTTAACACTTGGACGTTCCATTTATTTCCATCGACGAGTTATGCATGTGCTGAAATCTCTACATCAGGGTGGCTTCAAAGTCCTTATCAGAAATTCACATATGCACACACACACACACACACACACACACACACATAACGCGCATATAGCTGGTGATATGTACCGATAACCGTATGATCGAAAAGGACGTATTCTATAAAGCAGCCCTTGACAAATACCGACAGAGTTGATCACCATATCTATCAAGTGTCTTTAAGGTTCAGGAATTTGAATGAGCGACATGGCGTCATAATTATGAACCAACTTCAGTCTTATTTGAGGACAGCGGGGTTTGCCCTATGTTGTCCCTACAGATCCCCCCCACCCCCCACCCCACCCCTGAAATTGCTACATGAACCTTTCGGGTTTTTTGGGGGGGGCGGTTGGTTATGTTCCGGATTTATTTTTTTAAGAAAGGCTACGAAGCTTGCGCCACGCACCGCCACCAAGTAGATGCGTCCACCGCTCACAACTGCAACCAGGAAATATTCTCAGAAAAGAAGGTCGTAGAGGCTATGAACCCGGGGCAAACGCTCTCGACCTGTCCTAGAATGTATCTCCGCATATTTAGATCGTGGCTTAAAGACCAGCTCTTTTGCTCGGTTGCTGGCAGAGGTGGGGGGGGGGAGAGAGATTTGGGAGCAAGTCAGGTTCAAATAGAAAAGATATCAAGGAGTGGGGAAGGGAAGGAAGCAGGGCGGGCGAGGGTCATGCAGGCCTGCTCTGTACTAGCTGTTATACAGTTGACCTGCTGAAACCCTTCCTTCATGTCCACGATTTGTATAATAATATTCAGGAGTGGAGAATGATGAACCTGTGTCGGTGGAGACCGCCTGCCTCTCTAGGAACAGAGGAAGCGTCCCTTCGCCTGCAAATGGCTTCCTGCGGGTTATATGCAAGACATCTTTATTACAGAGAGCGCAGAAAGACTGGGGTTTTCTTTTTTCCTTTTCTCTCTTTTCTTTCTTTCCCTCTCTCTCTCTCTTTGGAGGGGGCGGCGGTTTCGTTTATAGTCAGGCGCTGTCTGTTTATTTCCACTTTGCAGAGAGAAGTCAAAGGCAAACCGCGGGCGCGTTTGCACGCACATTACATCTTATTCCCCAGCACACGCAAACCCCCATCTTCCCAGTCAATTTATTATTATTATTATTATTATTATTATTATTATTATTATTATTACTGTTCTTTCACCAGCTCAGCCTTTATTATAATAACCTATGACAATTACATTATTATTATTATTTAAAAAATTAAGTCCTTAGGTAGAGTTCCAGGCCTCGGGCAATGGGGACGGGTGCTCAGAACTGTTAAGCCGCGGGGCCTGTGGAAGTTAATACTGTTTCAAGTACCGCTTTTAATACAGTGCACTGGAGAAGATGAAACGGGCAGCCGGGGGGAGATAATAAAATATTTTATATTTAAAAAAAAAAACATTTCACAGCCTTGATATGGCAAGACTTTTGCTAAGCATAACCTGCAGAAGGAAGGCGACGCACAGGGTCTGGAGTCCTCCCTCCCCCCTTTTCCTTTTTGGAAAGTCCGAGGTAAACGCACTATTGCCATCAAGGTAATCCTCGCTGTCATTCAATATTATCGTCTTCATCGCCGCCTTTGCCTTCAGTTTGGAAAAGCGACTGTCCCCCCTTCTTACAACCCCGCCACTCTCTCTCTCTCTCTCTCTCTCTCTCTCTCTCTCTAGTCTAGGGTCACTTGGAAGTAGCATGTCAAACATTTAGTATTTAGTATTTAGATAAATCCCCCCCTAAAATAAACCCCTAACGTGCATTCACAATATCTTAAAACCAAACTGGAGGCGCGGGGAAAGAAGCAACTTTTACCAAATACATTCTCCACACCCATCCCTTTCCTTTCCAAAATACCTGACATCGACCACATTACTGCTATCTAAAGAATAAATCCACCAGGATCAATAGGAAGTTTCGAGCCAGTGGATCTGGCAACATAATAATAATATTAATAATGACAATAATTAATATCGATACTTTTGTGTGTATCTTCATAGAAAGCCCAGCACATTTCCACAAACGCACGCACGCACACCCTCAAGGCGCTAGTCCCCTTTATTCCCTTTTTCCTTGTTCATCTTTTTCATTTTCATTCTTCGGTTCTGAAACCATATTTTAACCTGTCTCTCGGTCAGGTTTAAAATCCTAGCCACTTCGTAACGGCGGTCGCGGGTGAGGTACATATTAAAGAGGAATTCCTTTTCCAGTTCCAGAGTTTGGAATTTTGTGTAAGGGCAACGCTTTTTCCTGGTGGAACGAGCGTGAATCCAGTTCGCGGCGGGGTTATCTGGAGAAGGGAGAGCAAGAAGGGGGGGAGAGAGAAGGTCAGGGTTCGGAGGGAGAAGAGGGGCAGGCATTGAAGTAGGGGAGAGGGTTGGGGAGGGGAGAAAGGTCGTTAAATTAATTTAACGGAGGATGCCTGCTCTTTTCACAATTGAGGAGGAATTATCATAAAACCTTGAATGGCCCGGTCTGTTTACTGTACAAATGATGTCTTCTTGATGGCCGTAGGTGGTTATGGGGAGCCTTTTTTATGGCTGCTTGTTGCCGCTTGCGCTCGAGTAGGCGTCTAGACGTTTTTATAGGTTAGTAAAACTATCGGTTTTGCACATTGGAGCCTTACAGGTTGGGGTAATAAATCAAAGCGGGTGCAATTTCTTTTCTTTCTCTCTCTGGCTCGGATTTTTTTTTTATTTTTTTTAACTTACTTGGGTCAAGTTGCTGCTGAGGCTTCTCCTCCTTCAGATCGCTGCTGGGGCTAGCATTGCGGCTGCAACCAGACGCTGGCTTGGCCGGGGTGGCGGTACTGCCGTTGCTGCTGGTGGTGGTAATATTGCTGGTGGCTGCAGCTACGGCGGCCGCAACCGGGTGAGAAGAACCGTTGCTCACTGTTGCTGCCGCCGCCGCCTTCTCGCGGGGCTCTGCCAGGAAGGAATTGCACGTGTACTCGGGCCCATTGACCCCCGAGGGCTCCCTAGACGGCGCGCACTCAGTTCTTTTGGAAGGAGAATCGGAGCTGCAAGACGAGGAGGAAGAGGAAGAGGAGACGGTGGCAGAGGAGGAGGAAGGAGAGGGCCCCACCGGACCGGTGGCGGCGGCGGCGGCGGCTGCCCCGCTCTCCGGCTTGACGATCCCGTAGTGGCGCGCGCTGGAGGAGCCACCGCCGGCGCCGTTGGAGGCGATGCTGGTCGTCGCCGCTGCAGCAGCAGCAGCAGCCGCGGCATTAGCGGCGGAGACGTTGCTGTTGCCTCCGCCGCCGTTGCCGGGGCTGCTGGGGAAAGAGGCGAAGGGCTCAATCCAGGAGCGCACGTATCTGCCTCCGCCGCCTCCGCCGCCCTCGCCCGGTCCGCCTAAGTGCGGCTGGGGCATGTAAGGGTGGTAAATGCCGGGCATGGGCGCCGGAGGCTGAGGGTGCACGGCGGGCCACGAGGCTGGGAAGACGGCCGACTTGGGCGCGAAGCTGCAGGAGGAGAAATCCGAGCCCTCGGCCACCACACCTGAGGATGGCCTGGGGGTCGCATGGTGACCTCCCTGAAGGAACCGGGCAGCCCCTCCGACGCCGCCGACGCCTCCTCCTGCTCCTCCGACGCCGCCACCGTACACTTCCTCGCTGTCGTGGCCTATGAGGGAATCGACATAGTAGTTACTGAGGGTGCCGCCGGTCGACATTTTTTGGAGGCTCCCTCCGTAGCAGGGCATATGATGGGGGGAAGGCAAAAAAGGTTACTCTGTTAACTGTAGATGATCGCCTGGCCCGGAGAACAATCGTAGTATTTTGCAGGCGGCCAGGCTCAGCCATTGGTCCCTCCGCCCACGTGATCATATTTACCAATACTCCAAGTAAATCAATCCGCTAAACTGAAGGGGTTGCTGTGATTCAAGCGGAGGTGGTGGTGGGGAAAGAAGGGGAGAAGGAAAAAGGAAAAACCTAAGAAGGCAACAAGCTAAGACAACAACCTCCTCCCGCCTTAAAAAACAAAACAAAAAAAACCTCATTCCCATCCTCTAAGGAAAACACTAGTCTCCAAAACGTGTAATTGTATACAGGCAGAGAGAGAAAATCCTTCCACTCTCTTGCCTTAGGCTTAGCAGGACTCCAAGCGGGCGTGGCGCGCTACTAGCAGAAGCAAGTTCGGGGACTATTTGTTCGCCTCCTTTGAGAGGTTCCTGCCATTCATTCCGCTGCCATCAGCCTCAAGCACGGAAGTTCTGCGAAGGCTTGGCTTGTCCTTGTCTTTGGAAGCTGCCGAGGAAAACCCCCATTGAAATCATAATAAGAGAGAGAGAGAGAGAGATGGGGAGGGGGGGAGCCCAGCGAGATCCCCGCCTGTGAAAACAAACCCTGCCAAAAACTGAGAGTGTGTAACGACTCCTCATAAAACAGGGAAATGTTACAGTAAAAAAAAAAAGCGCAACAATGCAGGAGAGGGCCATTTTTCCAGAGCAGCTCTTGGTGTCGTTTCCTTTAAAAGGAAAAAAAAAGGAAAAACAGCAACACAGGGGCAGAATTGAATGATTGAAAAGAGAGAGAGAGAAAGGAAGGAAAGAGCTGCCCATTGTGTTGTTTTAAAACAGGTGGAAGACCTCTCCGCAATGATTTTATGCCTTTCAATAAAAATTTTATGAGGTGCATTTGATTATAGATTAATGTGTCCCTCTAATAAAATGGACTGATGGCACACGAGGAAAAAAAAATCTCTCTCTCTTTCTTTCTCTCTCTCAACACCAGTCTTTACTACAGTTTTCAAACTTTGGATTCAAACGGGGGCGTTGTCATTACTTCCAAGGTACTCCAGAGTATGGGAGGCTGAAATACACGAAATGAATGAATGAACGAGCCCCGAAACGCCGCAGCCCTTTGGACAAGATCTCGTTGTAAATCGAGTCTGCTTTGCAAACATTCTGCGAGAAAGACAAAACTCGAGGCACCAGTGGCTAGAACTTATCCCCACTCCCCACATCAACACCTTCCATTCCTTAATTTTATTTCCTGGATATTTCCTAGTAAGCACAAACTCCTCCTCCGCCAACCCCCACCCCACCCCCGCACCATAGAAGTCAAGGAGATTCAATCTGGTTCAACCACCTTTATTATTTACTATCAGAGACCAAGTATCCAGAGTGGGTTTTGAACCTGAAGCAAACTCTTCGCCGAGGATTTCAAGCCAACTGAGCCATTTATTATCATTCCTCCTTTTCCCCCTCCTGCTCCTTCTTCTTCTGTTTGATTCTGAGAAAGCCTAATATGACTGACTGAGGAGAGAACGTGCAGGGCTACTTCAAATCCAAACCTTTGCTGGGAACAAAACAAAGGAAGACAAGAAACGCATCGAGGAAAGCCGACAGGACTGCGTTACATATCTGGACACTGGAACCAGATTTGTAGGAACCCATCTCTCTCACTGTTTGGTCTCTTTGGGTTTTATTTATTGTAACTTACTGTTTTCTTTAAGTGCGATGGAACTCACGCCCACTTCCTTACCTCTCTCTTTCTTTGTGTGTCTACATACACTCAATGTTCATGCTCACATACCAGTTCAAAACAGTTCAAAACAGCCTAAGTATGTGGAAACCATTGCCCTCGATTCCAGCTGAATTTACTTTCAGAGGAAAACGAGTTTGAATCATAGCCGTAAGTGCCATTTTCTCTCGGCAACATCTCGGAGTGTTTATTAAGAGCGAGTAAAAAGGAAAGGAAAAAACCACACCAAATATCTGTAGCTGTCACAGTGAGGGAGAGACGCTTTTATACTGAAGTTATGGATATTACAAAACAAAAACACAAACCCACAGCTCTGCATAACATCTCACAAATACCCAACGACCTGGTGTTAGCAAAGACAGAGAGAGTATACCTATCATCGGTGTACATGACTATCTACAAATACATACACAGGTTTTGTGCGCGCGCGTGCATACATGACATCTTTTGTACGCCCTTTGAATTTAGATACACACAGTTTACTATTGATAAATCAGTACCCCCAAAAAAGCATCCATCTATATAAGAACAACTTTATCAGACAATTAACCAAAACACTGGGGTCGGGTTGGAGAGATGTGATGTCACTCGTTCTTTCATGGAACTGTCTGGGTGTCATTAGGTTAGCAAATACTTCCAACATGTTAGAGGCAATTTCCTGATTTGGAAGTCAAGGAGGGGCATTTGTTGTTAGTTACGAGCCCATTTCTCCAGAAGCTGAGCCGGCAGTTTCTCAAGCTCTCCCCCCCCCCTTCTTCCTTTCTTTCCTTCTTTCTTTCCTTCTTTCTTTCTTGAAGGTGAAAGCATTCCCAAGTATTTGGACTTCAGCCGGGAGTCATGTTCATTTGCAAACTCCTTTTAAGGGACTTTCTGCTTCGGATCTCCCCACCCCACCCCACCCGACCCCCACCCCGCCTTCCTAACCCCTTCCCCAAGATAAAGTGGCTGTGAGCAAGATTTCGCAGCGATGTCCGGGGAGGGCGTTGCGGAGAGTCGTGAACTTCATTATCCTGATGTGGGCTACAGCGAAGGAACCACAGAAAACAAACACACGCACAAAGCAAAATAACCCAGGATTGTCAGGAAACCAAAAGGTGTGAGCGTTTGGAGACGAAGCGGGGAAAGGCCCTGTAGACAGAGACTAGGCAATATGGCTTCCTTTATTTTTTTACAACACTGCAAGTAGGAATATAATAATAATAATAATAATAATAATAATAATAATAATAATAATAATAATAATAAAATGTGTCTAGGGTGCATGAAAAGCAAGGGAGGTGAAATGGAATAAAACAACTGAATTTATTTCGCACGCTGTATTTGTAACGATATATACAAACTGCAGTAAGGATTTGCAATAAGAGCACATTTAGGCTGGCAATCGGGGCTCTGGGCGAAGGCTCGTTACGGCTTCCGTTTTCCTTCCTAAAAGTCAACTTACCGTTTATGATTGGATGGGATAAAGGTGTCCACTTTCGGTCATAACATTTCACTAGCGTTTTGGCGCTCCCTTGTCAAGACTGTCTGTTCTCGACGCCCTAGGCCATTTCCTCGCGACCCTAGCAATTGCTAAAGGTATTATTAGGACTGATTGACACAGACAAATCTACCCCCCTTTTTTTAAAAAAAATAATCTACGAGCTCCCACACTAGTAGGAGGGTTTGGGTTGGGGGTGCGCGGGAGGGAGAGTCTTTGAGCGCAAGGGAATGGCAAGGAGAAGCTGCGAAATGAGCGAAATGGTAGCGTTTTCTGGTTCGGTTTGGATTTGGATTTGGAAAGACCAACCAAAGGAGCCTCGTGAACTTTACAGAGTTTATTGCATTATACATGCGAAGAGGACATGCACAAAGAAGAAGGCGTAGGAAAAAGAAGAAGAAGACATATTGCTTGTTATACCACTACGATTCCACGTATGCACCACAAGGGGAAGAGAGGTAAAAAAATGTCTACAGTTGAGGAAGAATGAAGGATTCCATTGCACGCACGAAGGACAAGTTTGACGCACACGGGAGAAAGGGGAGTGTTACATCTTAAAATGTGCTTTTTAAAATTCCTTTTCCTCTCACTCTCGCTCTCGCACTCTCACTCGCTTTGCCTCCCCCCCCCCCACCTCTCAAGGAAGAAAAAATGCTTATTTTTCTTTCTTTTAAATAATTATTAAAAGTATTATCATCTACTCAAAATGGCATGGCCCGTGTAACAGCCGTCCCCCCCCATAAATACCACGTGGTGAGTTTAAAAAAAAACCATGGAAAAAGTCACATTATCTGGATGTCCAATAGCTCCAATAAGTTAAGACCAAATGATCATATTGAATCAGTGTTTACCCTGCATTACGATGAGAAAAATAATAATAAATTACACGTACTAGGCTATATATATATATATATATATACATATACATATATATATATATATATACATATATATACTCGTCGTAGGAATATACATAAACACTTGCAGCACTAAAAAGAATGACAAAAGGTCACATTCTATCAGAAATAATAAAAAAAAGGAAAATGAAGGGGGTGTACTTTTGTGTCCCCCCTCTCTCTGTCTCTGTTCCCCCCAAAGTCTTTCCTACATATATATATTTATTATATATATATATATTTATATATACCAACTGGTGGTAACTGGGCCCAGGTCTCAATCCTTTCAAGCCCCCAGTTGAACCGGTTTATGAGAAGGTCAGATTGGCGGTCAGTTCTCGGATCCGGTTCTCTCTGCTCATCTTCTTGAGCTTCATTCTGCGGTTTTGAAACCATATCTTGACCTGCCTGTCAGTGAGGTTTACGCTCTTACTGATCTCTAGGCGGCGCTCTCGAGTGAGATACATATTGAACAAGAACTCTTTCTCTAATTCCAGTGTTTGATGTTTAGTATAGGGACACCTCTTCTTTCTGCCACTCTTTGCAGTTAACCAATTGCTGGTTGGAGTATCAGACTTGATTTCCTCTAGCAACATCAAAGGAGAAGGAAAGAAGGAAGGAAGGGAAAATAAGAAAGAAAAAGAAAAAAGAAACACCTCAGTCTGTTATAGAGTACCCTTGGCCATGAACCTACTACATCCATTGTGTCTGGCAGATATGGTGGCTTGTGGGTATTAAACATTGCTAACGGAGGTGTGTACATTGGGGCAGGGCGGGTTTTTTTTTAATATAATGATAATGATACAAAAAATGGTGTCCACATTCGAGTTAAACAATGCTAGCAGCAACACTATTTTCCACTCTGGGTTATTTCTGCAGCTTTCCCAAACATTATCTCTATGCATTCTCCCTGCTAGTCCACATATTTCAAAATAGCCTGTGACATTGGGAGCAATATGAATACTGTCATCTTCCCAGTGGTTCGCATTTTAGTGGATGTGAACTGTGCAAACCAACCCCCGCCTTATAAAGCCACTTGTTTGGGAAATGCCTCAGTTAAAAACAGTACTATCCCCAATCATGTTGAAAGAGATTCATCTGCATCACTCATGAAATTAAGCAAACACCCAAGGCGGGGGGGGGGGAGTGGCCTTTTTAGTCCTCAACTAACACCAATATGGAGGGGGACCAATACCTAAAAATCAACTGAATTTATCGTTTTCACTTTTAATTCCCCATCTCCTATTAGATGCAAATGCCAGACCTGGGCTTAATAAACATGGTCTGTATTGTTCTGCACTTACTACTACGAGTAACAAATGCACAGTAGAGATTGACAAGTTAATTTTTACTAAAGGCATGGTTTCTGAGGGGCCCCCGCCCCGCTCTTCCACCATATTCTCCCCTCTCCAGACGAAGCCCCTGCGGTCCTCCCCCATCTTGAAATAAACAATGCAGTTCCTTCCATTATTTCATAACAACCTTCAAAGCCTAGTGAAATTAGGAGACCCAAACTTGTCTTATATATAGTACCTTATCCCAAATTTAGACTTCCTCCGAAGAAAGGGCCTTGTCTTATTCTCCTCATACTTTATATGGGCTCTGCGGCACCTCCCTGTTTTATTTTATCTCGTCAAAAGAAAAACAACAACCCCACAACTTTTTTATTACCAAGCTTAGCAATCGACTGTGCTCTTCACAGAGAAGACCCACAGGAAATATTTGATCCCAATTTGACCAAGGAGGGTGGGGGGAGAGTAACAGTGGGTGTAATTTAAGAACCTCTAATCTGAAGGAGCTGCTGGAGCAGTTATAATGCAGCAGCCTTGGCAAGAGAGAAACGAAAACACCCTTTTCCTGGCTGAATCTCTGGGATTCAAAAGGCATGAAACGATGGGTGTCACCAACATCGTGGCCAGGTCCTAAGGCATCCATGCCCTTCTATTTCCTTTTTGTTTTTCCAATTGCAAAAAACAAAAAACCCAGCACCTGCAGCAGCAGAAAGAGGTGACGGGGGGACCCTGTCTGCTGAGCAGTTATGGCTGAGCTTAAAGCATTAAATGCTCCTGTGGTTTACGAGACTGGCGTGCCCAAGTTAGTCTGCCACCACGTTCGGGTATCTGCCCCCCCCCCCCCAGCCGCCAACTTCTGCGATCATACCGACCTTTGCTTTCCTTCTCTTGGGTTTCTGGGCTGGAAACGGAGGCTTCAGCCAGGCAGCTCCTGTCGTCTTGCAGCGTGGACTTAGACTCGGGACTTTCCACTTGAGAGACTTTGGCAGAGTTGTCTGAATGGTGGCTGCTGGTGCTGCTGGTGGTGTTGGTGGCGGCGGCGGTGGCGGCGCTGCCGCTGTTGGGGTTTTCATTCATTTTCTTCTCCATCGGAAGTTGCGAAGCTATCTGCGGTTTGGAAGCGCCGCGAGGGTTTAACTGCAACATGACAGTTGAACTCGTTTCGGGGCTGTTATGGTACTCTTGGGTTTTCCCAGTGGCGTAGGTCTGGCTCAGCCTGAAATATCCTGGGACGGGGACCTCGGGGTTTTCAATGGAGCACGAGTCAGAGACCAGCCTCTGGTATGAAGGGACGTCGGACGAAGACACCAGCTTGGAGCGCTTATCAGAATACATGCAGCAATTGGTTTCTTCCTTAATATTTGTCGTGAAGGAGCAGGTGGGGACCTGCTGAGTAACAGGTTGCTCTATTCGGCAGGACCTGTTCGGATCAGTCCAGTTGTCTACTTGAGGTATATAAGGGTGTACATTCATACCCATATTTTGATGGTTGACTTCTCTCTTGGCCAGAGACGGTAGAAGTCCACAGGTTTGCATCCCATAAGTCCCAATGTCTGTGCTAGGTGGCATGTACATACTGGCGCTGTTGGAATAGAAACTATCGCTCCTGCAGGCACTGATCAAGGAATCGACTAGGAAAGTGTTGGCGGCAGGAGAGCTGTTGGGAAAGGACATTTTGGGGAGGAATTTGAAGAAGAGAGATTGTGTCCTTTGTAGGCTGACATCTCTACGAAAACATTCCCTGTGTAATTGTGGATGCCTCTGCACAACCACATGACAGCTAAGCCAATGAGATTTGAAAATGGCCTTGAGCCGCTACCTCCCCGCCGGTCACGTGCTCCGCGGGACACTCCGGGCTGCGGCGCAAAGGTGGTCAACAGCGACATCTAGAACGTTGAGGAGAAAGTGCGCGCGCTCCTCCAAGCCAGGGAGCTCCAGCGGCGGCGGCGGCGGCGGCAGCAGCAGCAGCAATATTAGTAGCAACCTTTTTCTTTTTTTTGTGGTCCTTTTGCAAAGCCAGCCTTGGCGCACTGCGCTGATTTAAAACAAGGAAATGCGTTGAACTGATCTGACCCCCCCATACACCCCCCATCTCGCAACTCTTTCGTTGCTGCTGCTGGGTTGTTTTTGTTTTGTTTTGTGTTTTTTGTGTGTTTTTTAACACCACAAAGGAGTTACTGTCCGAATTCAGGCTGATCCTGAGCCATGCGCCTTTGCTCCAATATCAGTATATATATATATACATATATATGAGACAGGTACTTCAGGAAAATCCCTGGCTGGCTTAAACAGAGGCAAGGGGGGTGGGAGATGGACGCAGAGGCGCGCGCAGACACACAGAGAGATGGAGGGAGTGGGAAGGGGAGACGCATGCAACCCTACAAGGCGAAATATGTGGGTCTTCTTCTCATTCTCCCCACCTGTGAATAGTAATGGTGATGATAATATTGATAAAAGTGGTTTCCCCCATCTCCAGTCCTCATGGTTGCCCAACATCTCCTTCAAGTTACATGAATTGGCGGCAACTGACGTCCTCAGAAGAGACGTCCCTAAGTCTCAGCCCTGGACAACACATCCTTCTCTTCTCCCATACTTCCTCCTTCCACTTCATAATCAAACACAAAAGCCACAACATATAATAAAGGTCCCAAAAAAGTTGTGTGTGTGTTGTTGTTTTTTGAGGGTGGACAGCTGACTATGTCTGAAGTGTAGGCGATCTCCGAACGTGTCATAATTTGGGGAAGATACAAAGGGGTGGTGGTAGCGGTGGAAATAATGTTACCTTTTATGGATTTTGTAAAAGCATTGGTTCCTGACAAGTGCAAGGTACAAAAGGTTGTGGAATTTATTAATACAGATTAAGAAGAATCAGAGCGATCAATAAAATTCTCATCTACATTCTTGAGCCACTTGGTAATTTTCTTGCTTCTGAAGCTTTTTCAAGAGTTATACCCTCTGTTGCCACACACGGGAAGATATTTTATTAACAAATCAATCGAGACTTTGTAAAGGATAAGATTAATAGTTAAGATTTAGCATAATGGTGTTCGTGTTATGAATTATTGAAAATTATACTATTGATTTTTCCTCTTCGCTGCTAACCAAGAAGGTCAATTTTTGTTTTAATACAAATCGTCAAATATTAAAAGCTAGAAAAAAAATTTTTGGTCATAAGTTTGGTTTTATAGCTCCAGCAGATTCCTAAAATAAAATAATTAATAAATAAGATGAGGGTCCTTTCTCATAGTACACATGTGAAGAAATTCTCTTTGCCCACGAAAATGGCACCAGAGAAAAGGTAAAGTTTTCGTAGACGATGTTGCTGAACTTCACACAACACCCCCCCCACACACATATGCACTCACAACGCGGTAGCCCGCATCCCACAACGGAATCTGCTGGCTTCTTACATTATTTCATTACCCAACTTCATATCTATTAAAAAGGGCGATAATATACACCTGAGTTCACCCCTCCCCAGTTCTTGACCACAGGAATCGTGGGCAACTCTACCTATGGAGAAATTTGGACGCTTCTTTCAAAATAGATTTCCCCACTTCGATGTTCATCCTTTCTTTTCCTTACATTTATACCCGCATCACTCCCTTTTCTTGAAACACAGGAAGACACATATCCTTGAAATTAAGGACTGTTCTCCCCCCCCCCCCTCACCTTCGGGACTTTAAAAACATTCATATTTTCCCTCTCCTCCCCGCTTGTTTGGCAGTGTGTTTTTACTCCAAAGGTGTCTCTTTTATTCATAAAATGTCACACGCCGCACGCCACGCAGGAACCATCTACTTGAGGTTAAATGTTGCCTTAAGTCCATCTATTTATTCCAGGCCTTGAGCTCATCCCTATCAGCAAACCTTCTTTCTCTCCTTTGAAATAAGAACCTCGGGGAAACCAAAACAGACCCTTTGAAATGGCACCCACGGCCTCTCCAATGACTGCAAGAAGCTTAATTTTCCGTCCTGGTTTTTTCACCCTTACGTCTTTGGCACTTTGGGGGGGTTGCTTCACTTTCCCCCCTCTCCTTCTTCTTATTCCTCCCCTATCCATTTGCCGAAAACAACCCCCTCACCCCAGTTTGAAATCTCGCTGTGGCAATGAGACAGACCCTTTTTGAAAAAGCTTATCGCAGCTGTTCAAATACAACATCATTGTCAGGTTAAGAGCCGGTGGGTTTTACGGCTCCAGCCGCCTCTCTTCTCTCCCTCTGTCTCGCTCTCTCTCTCTCTGGCTTCTGTGTTTGTCGGGGAGTCTCCAGCTTACCTTCGTCAAATAAGATACATTCCACCATCACCACCCCAGATAAACATTTTCTCTCTTTCTTCATGGACCCCTTTAAATTGCGAGTCCATAAGCCATGCCCTTGTCCTGGACAGGGGCTTAGAAATAAGGGACACAGCACCGCAAGGAAGCGGTGGTGGTCCCAGTGTGGGAGATAGGATTTTTGTCTCCCCCCCTCCTTTTCTCCAATTTGAGATCATTATCAGAGCCATTGCTAAGATTTTGTCTGAGCTAGGGAACAAACAAAAGTGGAGGTCACCATGCTCCCTCTTTGGGGGCCGGCTTTTTATGTGCTTTCCAGCAATTTCCCTTCCTCCCCCCCCCCCTTTCCCTCTCCCCTCAAAACAAGACGCCAGACAACCCACCGAGTTTAAAGCAACTCAATACTATTTTCTGGTCTGCATTTTAAGACTTGACTGTGAAATCTAATCAGGTTTTTTAAATAATAATAATAATAATAATAATAACAACTATCCCCCTTCAAACGGCCTTCCGTAATTCTTATTTACACTTTAAGAAGTGCCCTAGAAATCTCCCAATGGCCACATCCTCTTTATTTTATTTTATTTGGCTATATGTTGCCCAGTTGTAACATTAAAGCAAGCCAGACTTTCCCCCCTGTTTTCCATCTCAGGGGTGTGTGTTGTTTAATGAACTGACTCCGAGTCCTCCCTTTAGAGTTAGGACATTTCGCTAGATTTGAGGCGCAAGATACTAATGCCGCCATCTAATGACCTCCAATTATTTTGTTAGATAAACCATGTGTACGGTTAAGGCACTCCAGTTCTGAAGCAATCCATTGATCATCACCAATTACTACTTTTAATAAAAAAGAGTAAGGGTGGGGACAGAATTTGAGCAGGCTTGGGCAAATATATTAAAGTGTGTGGGGTGGGGTGCGGAATGGAACTGAAAACTGAAAACCGAAAACCTTAAAATTTGTGTGACACATCTAAAGGTTGAATAAACATCTCATTGGGAAATGGGTTACTCAGACCTTGTGTGTTTAACGCCACTTCAGTTTTAAATCATATTAAGATGGAATTGTAGTAATTAACATTAATAAATAAATCAATATTGTGCCATAAATGAGATATACAATCTACATTAATGCAAAGGTTTTCCTCTTTTACTGTCCCATATTTTTTCTTCAAAGGGGGTGAAACCCCCCGAAAAAAGCTCCATTTATAACTCGATTACTATTTGCAGTAAAATATATGTTGACATCCCCCTTTTCTGTCTTAATAAATAATAGAAAATAAAACCCGAGAGGAAAAGTCGATACTTTAAACTTTAATTTTAATCCTTCAGATTTATTCGACATTTTGTGCCTGGCCGTTTGATGCCCTTTTTGGGCTTTGTTTTGGAATGTATGTAGGGACGTATTAGAAGATATTCCTCCTACCTTTTCCTCTTCTAACTGCAATTTGTTTTATTCTCTTCTCATTATTAAAGGGATGGGGGAGTAGAAGGAGCCTACCCAAAAGTGGGGGGCAGATATTTTGCAGCTGTGGACTCTGAACTGGACTGACAAATATTGTTCAAAAGACTGGCATTCAGACGGGCTCCCTAGAAGCCTATCTAAATGTTCCCTTCCTCCTTTCATCTAAGTATTATTTAATCTGGAGGCGTTTACACATTGTTTCAGTTTATTTCACCCCATACCACTGCAGAGCAGAGGCGCTGAAAGGTATTCCTTTTAATTAAGAAAGGAAATTAGTGCCATACAATATCGCGGCTTTTCGTCCCATCATAACACAGCAATTAAACGATTCTGCTTTCTGAGCCTCACGTTGTTATGCGGAGCAGAGACAACGTCCCAAATATTTGGATTAAAAAGACGAGGGAGATGTCTGGTGAGACCATCGCCCTTGGTAATATACAGAACATAATTTAACTAATATTAACTATACTACATGAGATATGAGGGAGAAGCAACAGCACGCACTCCCTTATTTTTGCTCTGCAGATATTATATGCATCTCTATAGCTATATAGGTATCTAGGTCTATAGATATCTATAGATGTACCAACTGATTCACGTCATAAACGAAACTCCCCTGAAGAGGATTCACGTTTTGTCCATTGTTTATCACAAGCCTTTTGTACACAAAAGCACGAGTTCAATTTCAGACGCTCGCAGACTTTACTAGAAGGGTCTGGCCAGGTTAATGTCTTTACAGCATACATCCTCTACTCTCTCAATTAATTAGAAGCTCCGGAGAGACTTAGTACTGTATACAATAGCATTGGCCGTAGTCTTGAGTTACAGTTATTTAAAACATGGAAGTATCAATACCGCATAAGCTTTAGCAGATTTGGCAACCTTGAATGGAGGGACAGATAGATAGATAGATAGATAGATAGATAGATAGATAGATAGACAGATAGACAGACTTTTGTATTTTTTAAATTGCCAACGTTTTCTGCGCCATCTTAACACTCTCAGATCAAAAAGGCTTTGGGAAATTGCTGAAAATCATAACCAAAATGAACTCCCATCTCCACACCTCCCCAGGTCCATCCCACGTGCGTGAAGGTTCCACAAAGAACAAAGGCGAGATTTTAAATATCCAACTAATTTAATGAGCAGAGTATATATAATACGCATATAGCCCCAACCACAATGTTACATTTTTTTAATTTTTAAAACAAGGTCTTAATATAAATGGGAGGGGAGGGGAGGGGGAGGGAGAATTCTAACCGTGTAGTTTAGTCTTCATGCGGTGTCTGACAAGGCGTGCGTTAATTTAACAGTGGGGGGAAAGCCTCACACCAAACATTAACCTTTTCTACATTATTCTTTCCCAAAATAGATTCATCTTACACCATCCCGTTTATTATGGATCTCAAATGGCAAATATTAATTTCATTTGTGTTTCAACATAATGGTGTATTTTTTTAAAAAAACATTTCATTTTATTTCAGAACACTTCCGTTTATTTCAGGAGGAAAGGCTATTCTAGGTTACTGAAGTAACAATGAACTCCTTTTTATATAATTTTTTTAAAGAAAAAATCCACTGGAAAACAATGCGCCCAACATTCATTCGGTAGGGATGACTTTGAATGTGTCTAGTTTATTGGATTGCACAATGCCAAATTTCGAATCCATATTATGCAGAAGGAGAAAGGCGGAGGAAACCAACTCTGATCTTTGGTGTTTTTACCTAAAAGTGCGTTTTCGGAGACAACTAAGATCTCCCAAATCAGATGCCCTTTTTGTGGAAGGGGTTCCGTTTTTATTTTAAACATTTTAGGGGTCCTTGGAATACATAATTCTCTTTCCTTTTTTATTATTTCTGTGGAGAATGAAAATTAGTTTCGCAATATCGGGTCAAGGTGACGAAATGATATCCACCCTAAGCAAAATGCCCGAGTCTTCTCTGGTAAATAAAGCTATCTCTAGAGAAAAGGCACCCCCCCAAAAAAAAAAATACTCAGCAGCCCATTTCCCCACTGATTAAAAGTACACATTCTTTTTAACATTGAACTATCTGCCTGCGTTGGTCTTCTCATGAAAAAATCTCGACCTAAATATAAACTGGCTTTGATCACATTGGTATTCTTGGGGCGCTATGATTGCGCTGAAAGAGAAACAATTAGAATTTCGTTCTGTTGAGGAAATCCAGGAGATAAACTACCCCGTCCTAAAAAATTACTAGTTTTTAAAAAATTCTTATGCATCATATTGTAAAAGATTATGACCCAAAATAATTTTTTTAAATGAAATACGTCTTGTTCGTGTCATGGTCATGAGTTACTTGTTTAATAAATCCTGTTTATGCTCTATTTTCTCATTTCGCAAGCCCTGAAAACTTATAGTTGCTTATATATTAGATATTTTATTAGTAGCAGGGTGATTGGGGACGGGGGTGGAAATACACTTGAACATCAGGACAATTAGACATTCTGGAATATTAGCGCGCCCTCTTGTGGAATTTAGCAGTCCGGCATGCAGGGAATTTTTTATTTGAAAAAAACACTGCATGCTTTCTTCTTGCATTTCTGAGACATTATTCGGTTGGGTTTTTTCTTCGAAAAAAAGCTTTTATATTTCTATTCCTATATATTAAAGCTTTTTTCGAAGAAAAAACCCAACAGAGTTGTCTTAGGACAACTGTAGTTGGTGAATTTGAATTGATTCGCCTTTTTGGTACATTCCTGACTGAAGAGTAAATGATAAGGAAAGTCACCCCCTTTTTAATAAAATAGTTTAAGGCATCAGGAAAGCACACAATATTTTCCTATAACGTTAAGAGGATATTTTTTCCAGGCGCCTTGAGACTATAAGTTGAATTATTTGGACATCCTATGAGCTCCAAATCACAAGTCAGTTCTTTTTCGGATAATCTGCGTCACATTGAATTCCATGAACGAATTCTCATTTATTTTAGTGGCACTGAGTTGCAACTGTTGCTTTTGACTTTATTTATTTATCTATTGGGATTTTTTTTAAAAAAGTATTGACCTGATTTCTGTATGTATATCACTACCAAACAGTAAAAGAAAAATTTGAGAAGAAATGGTGGCTTATGCCTTGCGGGGCGGGAGGGTGGCTAGGGACAGAATTCTAAATATGGTTTCAGGAGGAATTAGAAGAGGTTTCACAGCAAATAAGCTGTTAGTTTGGAGAAACTGCAGTGGCGTTAGTCTGGAGAATTCTGCAAATACCCCTGGTAAGAACTGATGAAATGAACTATTTCCTAGTGGAAGTCGAAGCGCTCCAAAGACCTACGTGGTGGATTCGCGGGTGTGGATAGCTATGCAGTAAGAAGTGTGTTTGTGTGTGTGTGCGTGTGCGTGTGTGGTGTGTGGGTGGGTGTGCGAGAGAGAGAAAAGCCAGAGAGCGGGGGCGGGGGGAGGAAGTAAGAAACGGGGGAAAGAGGCACACAGAGAGAGTGGGTGGTGGTTGAAAATAAGAGAGGAACCTTTAAGGCTCCTAATTATTCAGAAAGGTTAAAGGTGATGACCTTGACATTTTGGAAGTTCAAAGGCAGACACTTACTGTTTTCCTTGCTTAAGAGTTTCAAGTTTTAATTTTTGGCCATGTCTACCTGAAGCCTCGACGCTTAACGTTTGCTTGATATGTTTCGCTCTCATTTTATCCGTCCAGTTTGGCCTTTAATTGATGCAAAATGGACCCACCGCTTCTCCCTCCCCCGCCCTGCTCTCCTTCTTTTTTTAAGCCAAATTCTTTTCTCACTCGTCTCCTTTATTGCTCGTTGCGGAAATCTCTTTTTCTGCCACCAGAAGGTGTACAATATAACCCAATTAAGCTGTTTAGACCCTGAGCTTTTATGGTGTTGTCTAGACAGTTCAAGGTTTTGTAAACAGCCTAGCTAGGTCGCGCAATATAAAAGTAGAGGCGAGGACCTCCACCAAACCCTTCTCGGAAAAACAGTAATAATTATAAGAATAATAATGATAATGAAAAGTGGGCAGCTTGGTGGCTAATTAGATTATTTCTCCCGTTCCTTTGTGTGTGTGTGTGTGAATACAGGGTGGAAGATCAGGAGGCACCTTTTAAAAGATTTGCCCTCCTTATCCCAGTACCAGTCACCCATCCTTAATTAAGTTCAAGTTTTGAAGTGGGAAGTTTCGTTTCGACTGGAACTCTAAGTCGCTATGCTAGTTCGCTTCGCCTCCCCAAAGTTCATTAGAACTTTGTACTACAGTGGATCTGTTATCCACTGTAAGTCGGATCAGGATGCGCTTTACAATAAAGCGCTTTTTAAAAATACAGGATATGTTCCAGACAGAGTTTTAAAAGCAACACCTTTTAACTCCCACTTATTCAAATGGCATAGATTTACATACATATTTTTCCCCAGGCTGACATTTTGAGTTTCCCCCTAAAAATAACAAAACCTGGGTAAGCCCGCTCCTGTTGCTCCTGTTTTCCCCCCCTTTTTTTCTAAAAAAATTATTCTCATTATAGCGGAAAAAGAGAGAACGCACAGGTTTTTTTCTTTGAAATGTAGGGGCAGGGGGGGAGCACATAACGGTGGGTCGGACCACACTCTCAGCTATTAGTCGATTTCACTTGACACCAGCAAGGACCCGACTATGGACCTTCGGAGATGGCACTGCTCGTAACGCACGCGGAAAGGGCAACTTCAACCTTACTAGGAACCATTTGTTCACATGAGCAAGACAGCATCCCGTGCTGCTTCTTTTTAAAAACACCCCCCCCCAAAAAAAGGCAATGGAAACCAGATATATCTCTCTATACTGGGGTGCGTAAAGGTAGCTACCGAATGCACATGACCACCTTTTCGACAACCACAACGAAATAAATGGGGAAGTTGAGAGGAGTCACTCTCTCCTATCTCAGACCCAACAGAAAGCGGGCCCAACACGGCTGCTTCATAACGCGCTTCTTTCTTAACTACCATCTACATTCGAGGTCTAGTAGCGGCCTCCGCCAGGAACTAGGGAGAAGAGTGGGTGGGGAGGGGGAAAAAAGCAACACGGTGGGTAGTTTCACTAAAGAAAAAGAAAAAGAGAGGGGATGGAAGGGGAGTGGAAATCCAGACAAAACGACAACCCCCAAACCCAAAACTCCAACAACACACAACAAGGTTAGAATGGACTATTGGATTTACCCTCTCGGTTTCTGGTCCCCCTTTAGAGGTTTCCTCTCCGCCAAGCGCCCCAAGACCTCTCGTGGACACAAGGGCTGTTTGGAAGAACCAGATCTGTGGAGCATGGGTGAAATAAAAACAATAAAAATAACAATAAAGGGAACTTGTCCGCAGGGTGGATGTCGTGTAAACCTCTTGATTATTATTTTTTTGATTATTATTATTACTATTTTTGCACTCAGGTGGCAGGTTGGACCAGGGAGGGAGGTCTTCTTCGCCTCCTTCCCCTCTCCGCTTAGTCCTCTCAAAACAAGGGGTTCCCCGTGAAATACTGCAGTCGATCTCTGTTCAGTTTCTTTTCTTTCATCCGTCGATTTTGGAACCATATTTTGACTTGTCGATCCGTGAGGTTCAGCATCCTAGACAGCTGGAGTCTTTTCTCTTTGTTTATGTACACGTTGAAGAAAAACTCCCGTTCCAGTTCTCTTATCTGGTATTTCGTGTAAGGACATCTTTTTTTCCGGGATCGCTGGGGAAGTGCTGGACAATCAGGAAAGGAAGAAAAAAGACAACCCAATCATGATGATAATAATAATAATGAGGGAAGCAGGGTGGGAGACAGAAGGGGGAAATTAGGAACGAAGAAATTAAGAAGCTGGCATATGTTGTCCCACTCAGAACACTTTCAAGCAAAGCTACACTTCCTAAGGACTTACTGTAACTATTCCCTTACTCCCTGGGAAACCGACCACTGAAACATCCAGGGAGTTTTCTGCCTCACGCTAGTCAACTTTGTCAAAGTGGTTTTTGGAAGGTGTGGGTGGAAGAAGAAAAGATGGAAATAATAATAATAATAATAATCGACGTAATTTCAAGCTTATACTACCCAACTCCATTTACAGGACTGAGAGAAGGGCATGAGTGGAATTGTTTGAAACTGACTTTGCAAACTACACCTCTACCCATTCAATTGGGACCCTGGTTTTTTCCCCTCCCCTTCCACAGTAGAATGGTTTGTGGAAAAGAATCCTGCCTCTCTCAAATGTCAGTCCCAAGTCCAGCTCAGACAGGATCCCAACTGATTATATATATATATATATATATATATATATATATATATATATACACACACACACACACACATACACACATACACACACATACACATATATACACTATATATATATGTGATATATATCACATACCAGTATATGTCTGAACACCCCTCCCCAAAACTTTGGGAGCTCTCAGCCTCCCAATCAACAGTTTCGTCACAATTAACATCCTCCTCCAAGAACATCTATAAGTTACCCTCAATGGGTTTCCTATCGTAAACACGCTTTACAACGGTGAGGGAAACCTTATAGGATATATAAAAGCCCTTCGGATGCTTATAAAATCTCACATAAAAAAGACCTCGGGCTTGACAAAGTGGTGGCCTCGTGCTCCCTCCCTCCCTCCCTCCCTCTCTCTCTCCCACCCACCTACTCACCCATCCTCCCTCCACCCACCCACCCTTCTCAATTTTTGGCTTTCCTCTCGCTCCCCGCCTCCCCAACTTAACAAATAAATAAATAATCAACAGCTCGGGAAAGCGGGGCTGGTCGTGTGGCTCTTCGGACTGGGCACCTCTTCTTACCTGAAGTGCTGCTGCTGTTGCTGCTGCTGCTGCTGCTGCTCTTGTCCGGTCGGGCCTCCCCCGACGGCGACTCGGCGCTGCCCTCGCTTGTCACTTTCTTTTCCTGGCCGGGCAGCGGGGAAGCTTTGCCACAAGTGTTGCTGGCGAGCTTGAGGTCGCCCTTGTCGCCCTCTGGCTCCGGGTAGGGGGTGCCGCCTCCGCCCCCGCCGCCTCCGCCATGCGCCGCCTCGTAAAACTGGTCGAAGCCCTGCGGGAGGATCCCGTTCCTGCCCACTGCGCTGTAGAAGTTGGCGGCGGCGGCGGCGGCCGCAGCAGCTGCGGAAGCGGCGGCGGCGGCCGCCCCGTGGTGGTGGTGGTGGGCTCCGCACACGGGATCTGCCTTGAAGAGCACGTCAGTCCTGCGGGTGGCCGGCTGCAGAAAGTCCCTGCCGTGCATCACCTCCTCGTAGTAGCTGCTGGGCGCGTAGCTGCCGCCTCGGTAGGGCCACTTGCCGCCGCCGCCTGCGCCGCCGCCACCTCCGCCGCCGCCGCCTCCCGCGTAGTCCCTGAACGCCGCCGCCGCCGCTTCGCGCACCGGTTGCACATGGGGAGGCAGGTTGGAGGCGTAAGGGAAAGTCATTTGACAGGAGGGCGACTGGGACAGGAACGGGGGCTTGCCGGAGAAATCCGAGGAGGAGACGTAATAGGCGGCGGCGGCGGCGGCGCACCCGGGGAGGTACATGCTGGATGCCCCGTGGCTGCCGCAGTCGTCAAAGTCACTCATGTCTTCTCCTCCTCCAGCTGCTGCTGCCTCTGGGCGAGGGCGAGCAGGCAGCGGCAGCAGCAGCAGCAGCCGAGCCAGCGCGTGGGAGCCGGAGGAGCCCCATCTATCTGCGCGCGAGGCTTTGGGCAGGAGCAGCCACCACCAAGGGGGGAAAAATCCCACCGTGTGCTGACGTGCAATTCATCTTGATTGATTCGAGTGGTAATTATGTCACGTGACGGCAGGCGATGGTAGAAATGTCCTTATATCTAGGAACGGCTCCCCTTTTCGCCCGCCTGCCTTCGCCAGAGGTTCCTTCCCTCCAAGAATGCCCTTCTTCCGAGAGCTTCCCAGTTCTCTCGCTCTCTCACACACACGCGTGCGCTCTCTCTCGCTCTCTCACGCGCAAAACAGGCACAGGTTTGGACAAATAGGACCTTTTCCAGCTCTTTCTCTCTCCCCCCCCCACCTCCCCAAACTCCACACACACACACACACACACACACACACACATACTCCCCTTCCCCTCCTCCTTCTCCTCCTCCTCCCCCCGTTTCACCCCCCCTTTCCCCAACCAGGAGTCTCGATAAGCTATAGGTAGGGCAGCAAATCACCTGGGAATGCCATCCTTTGCCCAGATTCCTGCGCGCATACATCTCACATGCACAGCCCAGACCTATATATCCTAGCAAAATCCTCCACAGAACTGGAATAGAGTCAGGCACACAGAGCCTACGACACCATGTCCTGGTTTGAGACACAAACAGGAATAGTTTGCATTTCTATAAAAAGAACAAGAACAAACAGTCGCCGGAAATGCAGTCAGGAAAGGCTTAAGGGCCAAGAAGGTGTTTAGGGAGAATATCTCTCGCTTTCCAGACTTTGCAAAGCAACCGCCAATATTTACCCTGATTGGGGCATCCTTTCTCCTTATTAGAAAAAAGCATGTAGGAGCTTGTTGCTTCTCTCTCTGTCTCTCTCTGTCTCTCTCTCTCTCTCTCTCTCTCACACACACACACACAAATGCTTGATAGCTAGCTAGCCAGCCAGCCAGAGTATCATGTAGCAAAACCAGGACGTTTCCCCTGTTTCATTTAATATAACGCAGTTTTTCCAACTCGAAATTCTATTGCTTGCTTCCCTTCCCTACTTCACGATATCATTTTGTACCGGACAGAAAGAAAGAAAGAGAGAGCGAAAGAGATAGGGAGGGAGGTAATATGGAATGGGGACTAGGTCTATCTGTCTAATCGATGCAGAGTCTTATATATAGGCATCAACTTCCACCGCCACCCGCGTTTCATCGAAGTGTGAGCCTCGTTTCCGAGCGCCTGTTGGACTGACAGAAGCCTCGGCTGCATCAGACATCTTAGGGTGGGGCAACTGCCCCAGCACAGTCGCTTCCTTCTGAAAAGCAACAATCAGATCCACGCAGAAACAGACCGCAGCTTCAATGTCACTTGAAGGGGGAAGGGACGGGGGAAAGACACAGTATTTGAGAAGTAAATTCCGAAACAGAGAACCGCACACAGCACCTTCACCTCGCGGTTGTGCGGTTGGAATCGCTCCCTCGCCCTCCTCCCTTTCCTTCTTCTTCTACACACTCGAGGCGCATGAAATGAGCGAGGACACATTAAATCAGATACACACCGAGAATCCCCACGGAAGAAGAGGCACATTTCTTCTGACAACAGGTAATAACAGAAGACCGGTTCTTTCCTCCCGGTTCTTTCCTTGGGCTGTAGTACAATGTCAAGTTTAACCCCACAACTTTGTTTCTCTTCCTAATCGAAACAGTACCAGAACACCGTCGCTTTACTAAAGACTGGAAATCCATGTCTCCCACTCCCCAACTACTGAGGGCTATTAATAAAAATAAAATAAGATAAAGACGACATCTAAGATACAAGATACTGATAGTAAAATGAGACATCTAAGATCCAAGATACCGATAGTAAAATGAGATGGAAATTATTTTCTCTTATGAACCGTAGCCAGGAGCACGAAAAAGAAACCAAAAAACTTCGAAAGAAATTGGATTTCAAGGCCATCTAATATGACTTTCTGAGGGGGGGGGAATGATTTTTTTATTATTATTTTTTTTAAAAACACGCATTCCGGTCTCAACCTTGTAACGTCCTATACATTCAATCCTTTAGAAGCAGGAAGGCGAATTAAAACAAAGAGGCTAATCGTAGTCAGACGGGTTTAAAAGCCTTAGTTCAGTGTGGGCTTTCGAGCCAGCTTAATAGGTGTAGGATTGGAGCAGTGTGTGTGTGAAGATATGTGTGTAACACACACACAAATACACCTCCCAAATAGGAAGAGAATACGAGATATTATTATTAAATACTTTGTTATATTGTTTTACATTAATGAGAGGCTTATATGGATATATAACGACACATATTCGTTTGATGTCCTCGATAAACCCCAAAATGACCAAATATGTTGTACAAGGGTGCCTCCTGATTGACTTCCGCAGTGGCTCACAAGTCCTAAGCCCTCTTTTGCCCTTAGCTGTAGGAAGGAAGCTGAGAAGGTAGGAGAAATACCTTCATCTCTAAAGCCTAACCAAGCCAAGTCCCAGCTTCCCCATATATGAACCTCTTTCCTAATTAAAAAAAAGAAAACAAAAGGGGTGGGGAAGTAGAAGGAAGGGGAAGATCATATGCCCAAATGGTATCCAGATCTCCTTCGAGTGTCCACCATTTAACCTTGGTTGCCTTGCTTGTATGACGCCCATCCACGAATCACCACCACAAGCTCACACCAAACCTGCGCAACAGATCCGGGCATAAACCAGCCGCACCACCCAATGTCCATTTAGCCAGATACAGTTCCACCTCCTTTCTTTCGAATGCTCATGCTTGCTTTTAGGTTTTGCTGCAATGAATGGACTCCCCTCCCCTCCCAAATGTTGACTGCGCAGCTAAAATGGCCCCTGCGTCTCCTATCGCAATGGAGCGAAGCAAAGGCTTTCTCGCTTGCGCGGTTGTCTCCAATATATCCTCCAGACCAAGCGCCTCAGGATCATGCGGAAAAAGCAGACGATTCCAAAAGCAGACGATTTCCCCCCTTATTCGCCCCCACCCATCGACGCACCCTCCAGTAACCACACCACAGGAAATCAACATAAAGCTAATAACCAGCATCCTGTCGACCCCCACCCCCACCTCACCTCTCCTTTTCAAAAACCCTTGAATCAGCTACATATCTGGATAGGAGGCAACTAGTTTCCACCATTCCAAGTTCAAGGACACGGTGGTCGTTTGTTAATAAGGAAAAGGAAACGAGCGCGGGGGGGGGGGGGGGGAGAGAGAGAGAAAAAGACGCCCTCCACGATTCTTGCAAAAGACCACTTACAGTCTGGAAATGCCTATTAAACAAACCACAGCAAAAGAGAAGAATCCGGTGTCCTTGAGCCGCTCAAGGATTCCTACCCTGATTAAGACGCGAAGAGAAATCTGGGACTTTTCCACAGACGCGTCTTCAAAATGGGTCGCCTTGTTCTGTCCGGCGCGGTAGCGTTTCAAACCCGGGAACTAGCAAACCAACACCCCCACCCCGCCGCGCCCGCCTCGCAACGCGCAACATAGCACAGAAGGGTGGCTTTACCGTTCGGCGTCTTGCAAGGTCTGTCGTCGTTGCCTCCTGGAACTAGCCGGTTTTCCACTGCGAGTGACATCTCCAAAGAAGCCTCCGTGAAAAATTAGGACGGCTGGCATAACGGTGTCGGAGCGAGAGGGGGGGGGCGGAAGAGAGAGAAGCAAAATATGCCTGGTCCGCCCGGAGAGAAGGTGCTGTATATTTGTGCCACCCAAGATAAGACACTAACTTGACCTTAACTTTGTTATGGCGCCCCTAGTATCTGGAGAACGTGAACAGACACTGTCTGGCAGCTCTCGTAAAAACTGACTGGAGAAGCGATTCTGAGTCATTTCATTTATGGCCACTACAGTTCTGCAAGAAAGCTTTTCCTCCCTGCCAAACTTTAATTATTTATGCTCTTTTAGGAAACACAAAAGCGCCCAGAGCCATTTAAAACAATCAGAGGGACGTTCCTTTTGCCTTATCAAACTCCCAGGCATTGCAAAAAGCACCCCCGGCTTAGCCTATCAGAGCGAAGGACTCGTCCCCGCGACGCCAACAAGATGCGGATTTGGGGATTGACTCCAGGAGGAAGATGTATGTGGACATGTGTGTCGCTAATGAAGCCATACAATCATGTTGGGGATGTGTGTGTGTGTGAAGGAGAGGGAGGGAGAGAGAGAGAACCTTATTTTCTACACACCCCACCCTCCAAATCGCATCACACTACATACACACCACACCACCACAAGCACACACACACACACACACACACACACGTACATACACACCCCAACGCTGAACGCGGGTCATTTACAGCAGCACCATTTCTTTCTGTGTACGATAAACAGAAAGAGAACAGCAGTTCTCTATCCTTCCGGTCAAGGATGGGAGCTTTAACTGAGATGCCCCTCACAAAGCATTTAAATAAATAAATAAATAAATAAATGCAAGATTAAGCTCTAGGCCAAGTAATGCTGCAATCCTACGCACATTTACCTCCGAGGAAGCCGTCCTGATGCCAACCGGAGCTCACACGCCTACATGAGAATCGCGTTGACCCTTGCTGTAAGAGGACTTGCTTCCCAGAAAACGTGCTTAGGATCGGAACCGGGTGCAAACCCCATTCGGAATCCATCATGGGCAATTTACCTATGGATTCCGACAGCGTGTAAATTGCAGTTGATCGGCATGTGAGGATGCGCAGATACAAAGCTAACTCATATGTGGTTATCGCCATTTCCAGGTTTCTATCCACAGCAGCTATAACTGTTCCGAATTTAATGTCTAGGACCCTGTCTGTATATATATATTCCTCCAAGATAGCCCCAACCTACCCAGTTCCTATGATCTTTTCCCTAGCTACAGTCACATATACAGGCATATATGATGTCGACCTACCTAGAGCGGCCATGACACCGAGCGAATAGTATCTGTCGCAATGCGCTTCTCCAATGATATGCATTTTTGGAGCAGTTTACCGACCATTGTGTGTCTTGAGTGCTTGTACGCCTCGGAACCAACAGTTGTTGTTTTTTTGAACACGTAAATAACAGGAATATTTATTTCGGTGGCTTAATTAAAAAAATACATGGACACACTACATATAATGTGCATATACTGATATACTGCTTCTTTCTCTCACTCATTTTATTTCACTTCACACAGACTAATGGCAAGTCCATAATCATCCACAACTGGAAACCAAATGAACTTAATAAAGAACGCATCGCCATGTCTATATTTTCCGCCGCTAATAGTGCAATCTTGCACAACCGTTGAGCCTGGTGTTTGCAAGGAGTTAGTGAAAGAGAGAGTAAAATAATAATTATAATAAAAAAGAGGACCATTAAAGGACGCCCTTCGCTTTTGGGTCAGATGTGCTATTTGCGAGGTAAATCGCCTGTGGATGCTAGCGAAAAGAATCTCAACATGGAAGGAAGTTGGTTGTATTCGTAGGATTGATTTTCGTTAATTCAGTCTGTATTTTATAAATATTTATTTAGCGACTTAGAAAACTAAACAAGACCTTGATTACCTAATCAGCTCTGTTGTGGCCTCCGTTGTCTAAGGGGAAAAATTTGGGAATAGAGATGGAAAGGAGTCGGCCATATAATTGAAAAAGAATCATTAGCTCCCAGTCATTCCATAACCATCATGGTTATTCTGAGGCATCATTAAATATTTATCCTATTTTAATTATATCTATATATCTATATTTTAAAAAGTTATCTGTTAGCTTTTTCCCTATAGCAGTATTCAGATATTTAAAAATATCGATTCCTTCTTAACCATGCTTATCGCCTCAGACTTCTCAAAAAAAAGGGGAATTGTAGATAATCATTTTTAAGACAATAATGCACTGTAAATACCGCATTTCCCCCCTTGCAAAATGGAAATTGTTTAACACATCTGATAAACTGCTACGGCCATCTACAGTTAAATAACATCTCCGCTCAAAACCATGCCTGGCTGGGAAACATCTGAAGGAGGTAAACATCTAGTTAAGACTAAAAATGTAGATAATAAACATGAACGTCGTTTTAATTCCTCATTTGCGGGGTGTGTGGGTGTGTGAATGAATTAATGCCCCGCTTTTAGCTCTGGAGAGATCTGGAAGCGTGAAGGATCAAAACAAATCTCTGATCAAGGATTTAATTTGAAGATCAGGGAAAACAAATTTCATTTTATCCTTTGTGGGGAAATATATTTCTTTCCGCATTCGAGGCGTCTGAATTGTGAAATACTCTCTCGCTCTGGTCTCGCTCTTAGAAAACTATTATTAAACACAGTTATCAGATGAATATGAAATTATACCACAACCTCCACTCAAATAAGCTTCATTAGCGTGTGCCTATAGAATCACGGTGTAAAGGAAAAACAGCCCCCAAGGTAGATAGATCCCCGGCCAGTTGTGCTTAAAAACTTGCTGGCTTGGCGAAGAGTTTTTTGTTTTGTTTTGTGATGTGTGGTGTGAGTGTTTGTGAAAGCAGGGGCTGGAAACAGGCGGCCGAGATGGAGCAGAGGATATTCCGATTGAGTCGCATCCTTGATTCCTTTGTGTCTTCCCTCCCTTTATTTTGCGCGCAGCCTTTGGACAAGGCCAAAGTCAAGCTAAAGAGGAAGGAAGGCTGCAAGCAGCCGAGACAGAGCGCTGAGCCAAGGGCAGCCGGCGAGAGGGGCGAGGGGCAGTTTGGGGCGGGGGGACGGGGACAAAACAGAAACAAACCGCAAATGGCAGACAGAGTGTCGGAGGGGGGGCAGTAGGGAAAGGAAGCGAAGATGTTTGGATATGCCTTTGGAGGCGCGGGCCTAAGTCGTGTTCAGACTTAAGCCAAAAAGAAAGAAAGAAAGAAAGAAAGAAAGAAAGAAAGAAAGAAAGAAAGAATATCAGAAGGAGACTGGGTGCCAAAGGTGTCCCTCAGGCATGGCGGGAGGCAAATGGAGAACAAAGAGACCTGTGGCACCGTCAAGACGACAATCCAGACAATTTGGCAAGACAGAAGTTTCTGTGAAGTGCGCCCAATGTCCTACATAACGATGGTGGTGAAATTTCCTGGGACTCAGGATCCCTTTTGGTGTTGTATCTGGCGAACGGTTAAGAGAGTGGACTGCCTTAAGAAAAGGTGGTCATAGAATAATAGAATTGCAGAGCGGGACCCCGACGGTCATCTAGCCCAACCCACGGCAACGCAGGAATCTCAACTAAAGCATACAGAGCAGATGGTCGTTTTTAAAGGTGTCACTCTGTTTCCCCTCCTCCCCGCTACAGACTAGCAGGGCGGCCCCTCTGGAAGCCGCTGCAACGGGAGGCGCGTGGACGTTGGTTATTAGCACACACGCGCGTGCACAAGTATGCCCTCCGTTTGCTTGTGGCGGAGGCGCCTTCCGTTCCAGTGCAGCAATCGTGGTGTGAGACCAAGCGACAATGCCTGCGTCTGGAAACCGAAGCAATAAGGCAAGAATAGTCGTGAAGCCACTCCTCGCTGTCAAGAGACAAAGAACCCTGAACGGGATCCACTAGGAAAGGCGGCTTCCTCCGCCCTCCCCACTGCGGCGCAGGCCCCACCGCCACGCGCAAAATAAGACCCCGGTAGGGGTCACTGCTCCGCACCAAAATCTGCATGAGAAATACTAAAGATCCAGGGAGCCCAACAAGCTAACACCCCTCGAGCATTTTCAATTCAGGGCAAGCAGACACAGCCGCAGTTTTGTCTCCTCCATCTTCCTTCCATTCCTGGAAGAAACGCGAAGATCTTTCCATCTTCTGCTCCCAAACACCTCCCATCTCTCTCTCTCTGCTCCCCCCCCCACCACACTTTTATCTAACAATCAGGGCTCCAGAAGTGGGGGGAGGGGTTGTTCGAGCAATCCAGAGACCACGGAGGGCGCTCAGGCAACGAGGCCAATGCCTTGCGAAGTAAGGGAGGAAGATGACAGCCAAGCCTTGACTGCGAGGTCACGTGCCTTTGTCGCAATAAATACATATGTGCGCATATGTGTGCGTGTCTGTGTGTAGCTATTTCAAAAAAATATACATTTTATTGTGAACCACTTTAAAAAATACGTTCCAACGCTTCCTTGTTTTGTGGTTTTGGTAAAACAACCCCCCCCCCGCACACTCCGCATCCTACTGCAAAGTAGCTGGAGCCATACACGGATTACCTGCCAATGCAACAATTTTAGGGCCTTTCCCATTCAGCCAGAGTCACACACAGTATTCTCCCTTTGCTTTCACGCAGATCCAGGCGGCGGGCGGGCGCTCGACACGTTTCTTCCCCCAAAGTGAAGTCTTGGTGAGGGTGGAATGAATGTTAAAGAACATAACAAAAGAAAGAAACAGACGAGGGGGTGGGGTGGGGAGAGCTGACCCCACACATTTCCTTTATTATAGTTACAGTGGTACCTCGGGTTACGTACTTGAATCGTTCCGGAGGTCCGTTCTTAACCTGAAACTGTTTTTAACCTGAAGCACCACTTTAGCTAATGGGGCCTCCCGCTGCCACCGCGCGATTTCTGTTCTCATCCTGAGGCAAAGTTCTTAACCCGAGGTACTATTTCTGGCTTAGCGGAGTCTGTAACCTGAATGTAACCCGAGGTACCACTGTACTTCCTTTCCCCTTCAGCCAAGAAGTGAGGCTTTTGCCGATTTACAAAGCCAAGCAGGTTGATGGGGGGGGGGGGAGGGAATCTGACTGCTTGGGCTAGACCCCTTGTCAACGCTCCCCTCCAGATTTTGCCTGCGTTTTTGCCTGGAATCCGTAGTGGTTTCGCTTCGCGTCGTTTCGCGTCGCTTTGTTGTCCCTCTGCTGAGCCGCGAGACAGCCGCTCCAGAGGCAAGTTCATGATTAACAGGGAAGAAGAGAGCCAGCCCCAAGACGCCCCCCTCCCTGGGCGGCGTCTCTAGTAGAGCGAGAGCGCCTGCTCGCGCATCACCACGCGCTTCTTCTTCATCCGCCGGTTCTGGAACCAAATCTTCACTTGCTGGTCGCTCAGATTCAGTCTGTTGGACAGCTCTTTCCGCTTTTGCCGGTTGATGAACTCGCTGAGGAGGAACTCGCTCTCCAGCTCGGTGATCTGTTGCTTCGTGTAAGGCTTCCGTTTCTTCCTCGACCTCCCTGGCGTGGGGCACCAGGGCAAACCTGCAACAGAACAAGACACATCGAGAAGGGGTTTGTGCTTGGTTCGTTCTTGCTTGGCGCGCTTGTTCTGACCGAGCTGGGACCCGGTTGCCCTGGGTGGTCTCACGCAAGCGCGGAGGAAGCCGCGCCTATGGCAAGGAGGTGGGGAAGCCTATTTCAAGAAAGCCAGTTTTTAATCCTCTAGGATTTAAGCCTGTAGGATTATGCGCTTTGGGGTGGGATGGAAGTCCCATCCGGAGCAAGCGTCACTGAACCCAGAGGGACTTACTCCCGACGCAGGAGCAGGCCTAGGGTGTTGGCGGCTGCGATCCTACCCAGATTTTCATGGAAATGAAATCGGTGAGGCAGATAGGCCTAACAGCTTTACCGTGGAAGTAATCTCACCGAGTGTACCGGAGTTTGGGTGCAACATTTGTGAAGGCTCAGGGACTGGGGTTTTATTGGCTGGGGAGGGTTGGGTTGGGTGGGGTGGGGATTCTCTCCTCTAGCAGCGAGAAGGCACATACCGTCCTGCAGAGGAGGTCTGAGGTTTGGCTGGGTTGCTGCGGGCGGGAGTGTCAGGTTCAAGTTGACGGCGTGCTTGAGGTCCTCCTTAATAAAGCCCGAGGCGGAAGAATCCGCGTTCAAAAGAGACGCTGATGCGCTGGGCAGGCTTCTCGGCTCATACCTGAGCCCTTTGGCCTGAGTCGCCGCCGCCGCCGCCGCCATCCTCACCATTCTCCCGCAACTCGAGTCGTCGGTCAAAGCTTCCCGGCTCTGCCTGCCTCTCTCGTCCTGCTTGGGAGCGGCTTCGTGGGCGGAGTACTTGGGGTGGTGGCCGTCCAAGGCGGCTTTGCTGCCGCTGGGGTTGAGGCTGACGCCGGTGAGGGAGCCAGTGGCTGCGGCGAGGTAAGACGGAGGCTGCGTCGAGCCGCTGAGAACGTGGCTGGACGGCTGAGCTGGGCAGGAGCTGGCGCAAGTCCACGCGATGGGGCTCCTCGGGTAGGAGAGCGCGGGCAACGAGGCGGCCAGCTGGTGGCTTCCATTAGCTCGCAGGTTGGGGAAGTAAAAGGAGTCGGCGGCAGAGGGCAAGTTCAGGAGGGAGCCCACGTAGCCCGGCCGGCAGAGGCTCCGATCGCACATTTTCCAACGCGAAGGACGTGCGCTTCCTCCGTCTTCATTCAGGGCGGTGTGCGTGCAACTGTCGGAAGAGGACTCCTTCTTCGCTCGGGGGTGCCCCCAAGCCGGGCATTTCCAGCGCCTCTAGCAGACGAGCCTCCTTCGCGAAAAGTTGCAGGAGAACTTCTCGAAAGAAGGAGATGGACCCCCAGTGCAGCGGAGGAGGAGGAGGAAGAGGAGGAGGAGGAGGAAGAGGGCGGGAGCGGAGGGGGAAAGAGATGGTAGACTCCAGTCATGGGACGCCCGAGGGCAAGTGGACGGGGATTGCCCTGGTGGCAAAGTTTTAGAAGACCCCCCCTCCCCCGTTTTAGGGCTTCAACCTGCAGGAACCCGCCGTTCTCTGCTCCCTCCCCGGCAGGCGCAAATTATTCGGGTTCTGCGTTTTAACCTCCATCATGGCTTCCCTCACCATCATTTATTCTTCCAAGAGTTAATTAAGACCGTGTGTGTGTGTGTGTGTGTGTGTGTAATATTACACACACGCACACACTTATATATTTGTTCTTTGCATAGGTAATATACAAACCTTGCCTTGATGAACTTTGTCTAAGTACAGTACCTCAATCTATATACAAAGGTGAGGACGTGCTGCTTCGGCAAGGAATCTGCTTTGTTATTTTATACGCGCATATCCCGCACATATTTTGCCTCCTGTCTATTGTGAGATAGCAGGAAGTGGAATGAGTCGCAGTCCCTCACATGAGGATTTGAACTTGACACACCGCATGACTCTAAGGTATTTCTGTAAACATAAATGTGCGGTGCAATCTTTACTCAGAAGTAAGGCTTACTGAGGTTTGCTCCTAGGTAAGCATGCGTTGGGTCACAGGCACAATGCAATTTCGGCAGTTCTGAATTCTGATTTAACAGTTCCCATTAATGATATATTATGTACAATATTAATACGTTCTACCTGTATACTGAATGCACGGAGAAGTGTCCTATTTATCTGTGAAATCGAATGAACACATTAGGGTGGTGGTGGGGGGAGAGATCTGTTTATTTTAATGAAACTTATCCCTTCATACCTAGTGGAGATTGCTTGTCAGTATAAGTTCCCCCCATTTTAAAATTACAACTTTTGGCGTCTTTCTACCAGAATTTCCATTAAAAGCGAGTTCTTGCTCCTTCTCATACGCCATTCTTTACAATAAACTGCATATATATGATATAATGTATAAATTATATAATGTATATAATGTATACAATGGATATACATTTTTTAAAAAAAAAAATCACAATTCCTGGAAAAAAATTATTGTGCTGAAAGGGAAGGGAGCTCAATTTTTTCCTGTGCTCTCGTGGAACCTTACCTAACTCGCTTCCAAACCTTCTGCGTGGTAAGGTGTCTCTGGAAGTTTCTCCCATCGAGTTCCTTGGGACTGACTTTGGCTTACAGATAAAGTAACTCCCCGCAAAGGAGCGGGCCTGCTAAGGAAGGTCTTCCGCGAAGATCGAGGCCTGCTTGCTTTGAAATCAACGCTTCGCTTCGCAGGAAGGAGGAGGAGGAACCTGCCAACGGTTCGGCAGAGCAGAGGGCGCGGATATGCGTAATAGCGGCTATGGCGAGCCTTTTAAGTAATGACCGCCTAATGGACAGTGCTAATTTGCATGGCAATTACACACACACACACACACACACACACGGCACCTTGGTTAGAAGTAGTGAAGCTGGAAGGGGGCTTCCAACCTATCTTCCTTTGGGAGGCAGGAGCAACAACAACAAATGACTGGGAGACTTCCGCGTTTGAGGCTGAATCTCCACCTCACCCACTCCGAAGCAGATCCCCTTTGTTGGCTATTGGGACCGTACCGTCAACGGACCAGAAAGGAAGGACACTATTCCTCAGAGACTAGCCATTTGAGGCAGGTATATTTTTACTTCAGCAAACTTTGTGACCGGCTCTATAACGGAGACCCGACGTTGTTTTGGGAGACGCCTTTTGAAAAAATCGTCCCCAAGTCGTCCGCAGCAGCCATTTGTCACCAGACCAGACTCATTTAAACTCAGCGCGTTTTAAAAACGGAATGCGAGGGTTACCCTTAAGAAGTGTCAGAAATAGATTCGCAAGGAATACCGGGCTGGCTTTGTCCCCTGTCCGCGGAGGCCCTGATTCTGCGCGGCTGGAATCGACCGAGCCGTCGAGGACGCAGACGCTCTCCAGCTTCGTGGCTGTGGCCGGTGGCCTGCGAATGATGGCCCCTTCCTGACCGAGGGATCTGGAGTCCAGGAGGGCCCTATCTAGAGGCTGACTGAACACTTGGGGGAAATAATTCAAATCTGGGAAAATTCGAACTTTTCGCCTCAGGCACCAAAACAGGCATCAAAATAGTGTAAGACCGGTTACAGACATCAGTTCGGCCTCCAAGATGCATTTCTGAACTGCGTAAGGATCTCACCCTGCGATATTCTGAATTTCAAACTTTTAGCGCATTCAGCTTCTATCCAATCTTTTGGAAAGGAAGGGAGAGCATTGGTTCCTCCTCGTCCTGTTGTTGTTCGCTTGCTTGTCTGATTGTTTTAATTTTTATTTTTTTAAAAAAAAAACCCTGGAAGATTTAATTCCTTATATTGTATTATCTTATTGGTCCAAGTTCTCTTGGATTTTCCCTTGGAGATCACAGGCGCGGCTCTTTCCTCTCTGCTTTGATGGCGAGGCACCCCCAGCCTAAGAGCACCCCCGCCAGAGAGCAGCAAAACAAAACAAAATCCCTCGGCTTTGAAATAAATCTTTAAATCATTATTCCCCACATGATGCTGCAGACCACACCAGACCACACAGGCACCGCCGGAGGATATTGCTCACCACTCACATTTAATTTTTATTGTTTGACTTATGTCTACCAATTGAGTTTCTCTTATTAACTTGGGGGTTTTGGCTTTCTCCAGCAGGTCTCATCCAACGGGGAACAGAGCTCAGAAGTTTCTGGCAAAAAAATTACTCTAAAAGACAACTTGTTATTGTTCTGCTACTTAAGAAAATGTGCGTTTGTTTGTCTCTCTCTCTCTCTCTCTCTCTCTCTCTCTCTGTATTTTAGTTCCTCTATCTCTAATGCTAGGTAGATAGAGCAACAGATAACCCCCTAGTGCAAAGAGGGGGTGCAATCAATCACATAAATTTATTTTAAACGGCAGAACAGATATAACATATAATATAATGCTCTCCTTTTTCATAAAATGTACACAAATGACGGCACATTTAAAACTATGGCTATGCAGACCGGCTCTTTCAGTATGTTCTTGAAAATAAATCCCACTTTATTCGTGTGTTTTTTTTAATAAAAATTGTTTATGCGTTATTGCAACGTGTATATACATTATACAATATCCATAGTTTATCCCTTATCCTCGGACTCCCCAGTCTATCTCTCCATGGCATTCTAGGTAAACCTTTGTCGGCTGCATATTGTATTATTCCACCCATTTCCGTCTCAAATCTTCCTTTATTTAGTGTTATCTGCTGCTCATATGTTCATTCCTACTTGTAGGTTAAGTTGACTATTGTGCCCTCTAAGATATTCTCCAAAACGCTGCCGCTCATCTCTTATCCGTGACTAAATCTCACTTTATTCCATCGGAACTTACGCCAAAGCCATTACTGCCTTGCGCTTCTGCCGCTTTCACGTCTGAGAAGCCTGGAGCGGAGAGGGCTCGCTGTCCAAGACATGATGAGTCCCTGAAACCCGTCGAAGATATTGCCACAATAGCAAATGGTCCGTGTTACTAGCTATGAAACTTCAGGAATTGATAGTGCAAGCATATGCGTGTTTTCTCAGTAGCAAGCCCTCACGGTTTTCAAGAAGTGTGTAGGGTTACCGCCTTAATGGACAACAATTCTTCCTCCCCTCGTTACGCGTACAGAAATGGGAAATTTCCACCTATGCCTTAAATAGACAGGTACAAAAAGGCGCACGCACCCCTGCCTTATATACTCTATCAACGTCCTATCCCATCCTCTATCCTTGCTCAAAACGAAGGAGGCCAAATCGATGGAACGGCGCAGTTCCTCGCAGGTCTACTGAGAAGTAATACCCATTGAGTTCCATAGTAGGGGCGCAAAGGGGTGCAGCCTTAATTCTTCTATATAAACTTCATGTCTATGTGTGTTATATTTTGGTACCGAACTGACCAAATTTTGCTTCCTTTGACTCCCATGAATAACCGCGGGAGTTATTCGTGGGAATCCTAGGGCGATGGTCGGAAGGCACTCAGTTTGCTGAGTAGGTCTGGTCTATGCCCAGCTAGAAGACCTCCTGGTAACCTCACGTCTTCCAGTTTGGGCTCACGGCGGAAGGACGGTGGGCTATAGAACGGCATGGAAATTAGCCAATGGACTGAGTGATAAAATGGGATAGCCGAGAAAGTCCTTAGCAGGGCTGAAGTCCCGAATAAGTGTGCGTAAGGCTGTCACCACTAAGCCTTTCCCATCGAAATCAATTGTGATGTTTGACTTTGGGTGCGTCGTGTCGGTGGCCTCTAGACTGGAAATGCCGATGAGAAAATACTGATGAACTCGTAATTAAAACAAGTTAATTACACTCTCGAGAAATCGCGAAGCAAGAGAGACTAGTACCATACACTCACAGTGCAATGTGGAACGTATTCAGAGGTAGTCATGGTTCAGTCCCAGGAGAGACGTGTGTTTATTAGATAGATAGAGCCACTCTATCAGAAGGGAAACAGAAAGGGCTGGGTGTTAAGATGCGGTGAAATGATGTCACTATTAAGAGCTCCCATAGCATTACCCTCAAAATGTGGATCATTCTAGCAGAAAGGACAATGAAAATAGAAATAATAAAACCTTATACTTGAATATATACCGGTACAGCAGTGAGGATGCAGCTAAAAGATAATTATCAAACCAAATTATATACCTTGCAGCAAGTCTATTTGTGTTGGAAGTCTAGATGCAACTCAGATTTGCAGAAGACAAGTTTGCTTTTATTCACAGGACATTTATTTA